ACTGATTTTGTCTAAAAACAATCAGAATTTCATAGGATCCAACCTAATATGAATATCTCATTTTACAAACGAACGGACTGGGACTCAAAGACGTTAAGCAGTTTGCCCTGGACACAGTAAGTGAGGAGTAGATGGAAGGTGTAATTCAGCTCTTTCTGATTCCAAAGCCTGGCATGGAATTTTACACTGTTGTCCCATTGACCTCCATCCCCTCCTCTTGATGACTCGTCTACTGAGAGCAAAACGTTCCCATTTCTCAGCATGCAATATTTTTGTGGGGTACTCTTCTGCATTACGACCATGTTGTCCTTTACTCTGTTCCATTCTGACACCTGTCTCTTCCTCACTTTGCATGTCTAAACTGTCCCCAAATGCTGCTGAGTTGACTTCCTAAGTGCCATATCTGTCTGGACACGTGTCTTTATTGCCACCTCCATCTCTTGTCCAGATCCTGCAGTGGCTTCCTAACCGGGTTTCCTGTGTACGCTCCTGTCCCTTCCACACCTAAGCCACAGTGATTTCTGTGAAATGCAGATCTGACCACGTCACCCTTCTGTTCTAATTCCAGTGGCTTTTCCTGTTGCTCACAGGGTGAGGACCATCCCCTCGCCACAGTCCCTGGGCTCTGCATGGCTGCCCCTGCTCCTTTGTGGAGCTTCTCTTACCAGGTCTCCCACCTGCCCTCTGAGCTCCTCCCACCTTTAAGCCCTTTGTGCCAGGCTTCCATCTACCAGGGCCTGCACACCTGCACACTAGATGATCCTTCTGCCTGGAATGTGTTTCTCCCACTCCCTTCTTTACCAAATAAATGGTTACACATCCTACAGTTATCAGCTCGAGGGGCACTCTCTCAGGGAAGCCCTTCCTGACCTCCCAGACCTTGGTCAGTTTCTCTTTCTCACATCATCTCCAAGAATGGAAGTCCTTTCCTTCCGTTGTAAGCAGTTGTTTGCTTACATGTTAACCTGCATTTGTGGGATAAATGTGCAATTCCCCAGCACATCCACAAGATCTCTGAGAGCACGAACCATATGAGCCCAGCCTCTTCCGGGCCTGCAGACGGTCGCTTTCTCGGGGTGTTCTTCCATGGTGGCAAAGGCAATGACCCCATGATGGGGGCTGCACCCTTATGACCTAATCTAAAACTCATCACCCCCAAAAGGCCCTGTCTTCTAATAGCATCATATTAGGGGTTAGGGCTTCCACATATAAATTTGGGAAGAGACAAACATTCTGTCCATTACAGAGAGCTCCTGTGTACCCCACAAGGCCTTTGCTCCATTGTCACCTCTTCGATGGCACCTGGGCTGAACTAGTCACTTTCAAATTTGAGTTTGTTTTCTTTCTTTCTTTCCTGCCTTCTTTCTTTCTTTCTTTCTCTCACTCTCTTTCTTTCTTTCTTTCCTTTGGACCTTTTGGTGCCATTCTACTTAGCATATTGTGATGACAGGTTTTTGTGCCCTGTGTTCGTTGAGTGACCCTGAGCTCCCTGCAGGCTGCTGTGGATCCCCCATGCCCAGCACAGCACCTGGAATCCCAGTGCATATGCGGGGCCGTGCCGAAGTGAATGTGAAGCCTCGTCTTTAGGGCACAAGGCCTTGAATTGGCTTTTCTGGTGCCTCAGTGTCCTTCCTTCATCCCGTGCACACAGCAAATCTCTGTCTATAAAATTCTTAGGTGTTTTTCTTCAACCACTGGGAGAGTTTTTCACGTGATCCCTCCAGCCAAGGAAAGCAAGCATCCAGTACCCTCCTGAAGCCACCAGGGAGCTAGTGACTCTTATATGCATAGCGGAGCATTTATTTTCCCAACCTATCTGACAGTAAGTGTAACATGTTCATAGCACTTATTAAAGCATAGTACATGTTTTCTGAGGTTAATAAAAAGCATAATGGTGTTTCTAAGGAATGTATGCATTCCGAAAGCTTAAAGAGTTCTGTGAGTTTTTGAGGGTTTATGTAATTTAAAATGTGCAGTGGCATGATCATAGCTCACTGTGGCTTCAAATTCCTGTGCTCGGGCGATCTCCCCACCCCCGTCTCCCAAAGTACTGGAACTATGGGCACATGCCACCCAGCTGGCTAATTTGTGTATTTTTCATAGGCACAGATTCTCACTATGTTGCCCAGGTTAAGCTTGAACTCTTGGCCTCAAGTGATCCTCTTTCCTCAGCCTCCCAAAGTGCCAGGATTACAGGTGTGAGCCACTGTGCCTGGCCCATAATTAAAGATTTTATTTAAACTTGTTAATATTTCACGAGTAACTCTTACAGCCTCCCAGACCAGCTTATAGAAAATATGCCCATACCATGAAATGGATTTACTTTTTTTCTTCAAGGATGGATGTTGGCTTCTCATTATGTCTTTCCTCCTACTTTAATCCCTAAAAGAATTCTGTGTGGCTGGGACCTTTAGGAAACTGAGATGCAGTTGAGAAGAATATAAACACGAAAGGAAAAGGAAAGGGTGGCTCACCCCAGCAACCTGTGCTTATGGGAGGTGACGTGCTTGTGGCTCATGGCAGAGCATTCTGTACCACAGGTTAGGTGAAACGGCTGCATGTGGGACTGTCATAAGGTCTTATTTAGTGTGATCCTGCCTAGAATGATAATTAAAAGTACTTAATTTGAAGCAACATTTGAATGTTCATCCCAGTAGAAAATGAAGTGAATTTTCTTTCTGTTCAGTTCCTATTTTTCTCATCATTTTGTTTTCTTTAATTGGGTTGAATGGAGTAGGTAGAAATATTTGTGGTTTAAGTAATACTTTCGTGTTTCCTAAGAATGCAAACTGCCTTTTGCATATGAAGCCTGGGAATAAAATTCTGGGTGTTCTAGTATTATTTTCTCATTCAAAGGGAGTTCAGCTTTCAGAGAGAAACAGCAGGATTGCCTTTGATCCCATTTTAGAAGATTGGCCTCCAGCAAAGGTGGACATTTTTGAGATTTTTATAATAAAGAATTTAATTGCTCATTAAAAAAAGAAAGAAAAAGAAAATATGCTCCATACAGTTGATTAATTGTAAAATCATCCAAGCAGCAAGTTAGGTTCCGAGCCCCGGCCTTCTCTCACTCCTCCCTCTCCCCGGCTCCTGCCCACTGGTCTCACACCCTTCCGCAGGCATTGCTGCAGGCCAGCTCTCCTGCCCTCCTGCTGAATTCCTGCAGCACCCCAGCCCCCTCTGTCCTTCCGGCAGCACAGCTCTGAAGAGTTCACACCTGGGCCCTTAACCTTCAACTGCTCCCCACTGCTTACTAGAAACTGTCTGCACTCCCCCGCATGGAATTTTGGGCCCACGCCACATGATTCTGGATTAGCAGGATTACCTGCTCTAAAATGCCTTCTCAAATCCACCCTACTTGCTCCCTCCTCTTGCTCCACTTCTTTGTCCCTTTCCCCTCCCTTTCTATTTTCTGTTGTATCCACCTGTGTAATAATACCTGCCTTGCCTTCCTATGAGCAGGACACTCCCTTAAGAGTTTACTTTTGAATGCTTTCTGCCTCCTTTCTTTACCCTCTCCCCCGCTTTTTTTTTTGAGACCAAGTCTTGCTCTGTTGCCCAGGCTAGACTGCAATGGCGTTATCTCGGCTCACTGCAACCTCCGCCTCCCGGTTCAAGCAATTCTCCTGCTTCAGCCTCCTGGGTAGCTGAGATTACAGGTGCATGCCACCATGCCCGGCTAATTGTTGTATGTTTAGTATACACGAGATTTCACCATGTTGTCCAGACTGGTCTTGAACTCCTGATTGCAAATAATCTGCCTGCCTTGGCCTCTCAAAGGGCTGGAGTTACTGGCATAAGCCAGGGTGCCTGGCCCTTCCCACTCCTCCTTAATGCAAGGCCTCTTCACTATAGCTGCTCACAGTTCTCTCTACACCATTTTTTTTTCTTTTTTTATGTTTTAAATTTTTTTGTGTGAGAGTTTCTGCCAGGTGAGGAAATGGCTTAGAAGAGAAAGAAATCTATTAGTATTAAACAAACTCCTAAATAAGAAAAGCTAACTGAATGATAGAAAAAAGGAGTATGGACAGGTGCGGTGGCTCACGCCTGTAATCCCAGTACTCTGGAAGGCCAAGGCAGGTGGATCACCTGAGGTCAGGAGTCTGAGACCAGCCTGGCCAACATGGCAAAACACCATCTCTACTAAAAACTCAAAAATTGGCCAGGCATGGTGGCGCATGCCTGTAATCCCAGCTACTCAGGAGGCTGAGGCAGGAGAATCTCTTGAACCCAGGAGGTGGAGGTTGCAGTGAGTGGAGATGGCGCCATTGCAGTCCAGCCTGGATGAAAGAGTGAAACTCCATCTCAAAAGGAAAAGAAAAAGAAAACAGGAGAATATTGCCTCCAATGGACAAAAGGTGATTCTTGAGGGAGGAGAGCAACTCTTAGCTACTACAATGGCCTGCAGTTCTCCAAACAGATAGACAGTGTCTTGGTGGTATTAAAAGCTCATGGTGGGGTGATTACAGGGAAAGTCTCTAAAAAGGCTCTTTGGCAGTTGGGGCAGGGAACAATGACGAGAAAAAAAGTTGAGAAACACTCGTCTACAGCAGCCAAGATCAAAGGGACTCTGAAGATGCGATGAGATTGAAATGAAATCAGTATTTGCACAGTCCCTGAAACAGGGCTTGGTACATAAGAAAACCCGGGACATGTTCCTTGTGCACATACCACATCCAGACACTACACTAAGATTTCTCCATCCACCATCTTATTTAATCTTACACCTGCTCTGTGAATAAAACACAATTATCACTACAGGCAGGGAAATTGAGGCTCAGAGCGGTTGGTGTAGTTGCCCAATGTCCAACCTCAGAGGCAGGATTTAACCCTGTCTGATTTCAAAGCCCAACCCCCAGATGCAATGGGGGTGAGTCCTTTCCTCACAATGAGACGAAGTCACCTACTAGTGGGGGTGGAGAAAAGTAAGAGAGATGGAATTAACCTGTACATAAAGTCTTAAATGGCCCCGGATTGACAGAGGGTTTCTGTGTGCCCAGGGCCATGATGATGACTGCCTGTGATCTCTCAGCCATCACCAAGCCTTGGGAGGTGCAGAGCAAGGTATGAACTCCTACTGACTCGAGAGCAGGGGCATCCCAGTACTGGAGGAGCAGGTCATGAGGCTTGGACTCTCTCAGCCCAGCTCCAGAACCAGCTCACCACTGTTCCATCCTCCTCTGCCAAGACATGAGAATTACTTTAGGTCTCTCCAATGATGACACCACAGTGAGGGTGGCAGGGCAGGGGTGGGTTTATCCTTTTTGTTGAGTTGGAATTGCAAGTGGGGTGGGAGCAGGGGTAGGGGTAGGGGATTGGGCTGGGGCTTTGACTCTGTGTGACAGTCTCTGTGTTGCAGGTAGCTCTGCTGGTGGCTGCCGAATTCTGGGAACAAGGTGACCTGGAGCGCACGGTGCTGCAACAGAACCCCATTGTAAGTAGAGAGGGGATGTCAGCCTGATGTTAGGCATGTGTGCTCCATCCTAAGCTAGACGTGACCTTGCGATGATGGAGAGATGAATGACTTTACCATAAAGATGACCTTTTCCTAATGCAGTGCTTCTCAAGATGTGGTCAGTGGGCCACTGTCAATCTCATTACTTGAGAACATGTTAGGGATATGTATTCACAAGCCTCGCCCCAGGTCTATCCAACCAGAAGCTCTGGGGGTGGGGCCCTGCAATGAGCGCTCTAACAAGTAAGCCCTCCTAACGTTTGAGAAATGTGTCCTTCGCTCACTCAACTGTGGAGATTGGCAAGCAGACTCTAACATTTAGATTGCCCTTTCAATTCCAAAGGTCTAGAAGGCCATCTACCTCCCCTGACTCTGACCTAACAGCACAGAGCCAGCAAGCTGTGTGCCTATCAACTTGGCTGGGGCTGTCAGCCAGCTTCCCACAAAGATGGGGAGACGGGGAGAGCAGCCTGAAGTCGCCCTGAAGTTCCTGAAGGCAAAGCTGGGAAGTAGAGCAGGGTTTGGAAAGGATGGGTAAAAGAGAGAGGAATTTTGGGGACAAACCACTGACACCTGGATAGGCTAAACCTGTGAAAGTGTGCTAAGGATACAGGGGCACCACGGCAGGCTTAGGCAGGAGCCGAGGGAGAGTGGAAGGCTGGGAGGAGCAGGTCCTGTCATGAAGGAACACGTGAAGGGCCCTATGGGCTTTGTCGTTCTCGCTCTCTCTGTAACATTTTCAAATATGTTGAGAATAGTCAGTGAATTCTAATGCCCATCAACCAGAGCCAACAATTAGCAGCAATCTGCCATTCTTGTTTTATCTATTGCTTCCAATGGGCATTTCTTTTTCTTTTGGTTGGAGTATTTTAAAGTAAATCTCAGACACTATAATTTCTTCCATAAATACTTTAGTATGTATCTCTATGAGACAAGAGCTTACTATGGACAAAACCATAAACATAACCACAGTACACACTCACAAAATTCGTGGTAATACTTTAGTATCATCAAATCCCCAATTTCTGCTCGTTTTTCTTGATTAAGAAAGAGAATTCAGTTGATTTGTTCAAATCGGGATCTAATCAAGGAGCATCTTGCCTCTGGCTTTTGTGTCTCTGAAGTCTGTTTTAAACTGTATGGCCCTCCCATCCCGCCCACCCTCTGGCCTTTCTGTGGCATGCCATTTATTTGCTGAAGACAGTGGGTCTTTTTTTGGTGCAGTTTCCTGCATTCTGGATTTGGTTGGTTGCACCCTCATGGTGTTCTCTAGCATGTTTCTCTATTCTCCTATGTCCTGCAAAATGCAGGGCTGGAAACATGGTGAGTTTACAGTTGGATTTTGGTAAGAATGCTTCGTAGGTAGAGTGGGTTTCTCTTACTGCCCAGTGCAGTTAACTCTTTCTCCCCCATGACAGCCCATGATGGACAGAAACAAAGCAGATGAACTCCCCAAGCTTCAAGTCGGCTTCATTGATTTTGTTTGCACCTTTGTCTACAAGGTAGGCCCTTGGCGTCCTTAGCCCCAACAAGATGTCTTTGATAAACCTGGGATTTCCAGACAACATCAGAAATAATATACCCTAGCAGGTGACCAGTGGGTGATACTTTACAAAGCACGTCTTGTCTTGAATGGCATTTGAGTCTCAGGACAGTTCTATGGGTCTTATGTGATTGTAGCTCCAGGCTCCAGCCTGGGGCACATCCTAATTGCTTAATACACAGTTGTGGGGCAAATGACTAAGCATGGATTCAGACAGAGGCAGAGGAAACACAGCAGACATATGTTCTTCTAATTTCCCTGCTGGTGGAAACATGATTTTGGATTGGGCAAATGCCCCAACTGCCAAAAGTAATTGTGAAAAGATAATCTGGCATTTCTCTTTGCACTCTTGTTCAAAGTTAGTGTCCCTCTTGAGAAACCCACTGCTCCCAACTTTCTGTTATCTGTGCCACCATCCATCTCTCACTTTTAATTTTTATTTTGGCCATGTTACACATGAGAAGACAGAAGTCAGAGATGCAAAATGACAGGGCCAGTGTCACTGGACTTAGCCATGAGGCAAGATTTAGTCCAGTGCTCTTTATGTTGTGTGAGCTGCAGCCCTTCTGCTAGGAAGAAGTGCAATTTTTCTAGAGGACAACAAGAGCGCCTGAGATAGAACTCAGACTAACTGGGTGCTCTGACTCACAGGGCAGAGTGGCTGATGCTTGCCACTATCATTACTAAATATTAGTAATATTTCTTTATTTCACTGAGGGCATGAGTTTTTTGATGACTTTTTCTTTAGACAGGGTCTTACTCTCACCCAGGCTGCAGAGCAGTGGCACCATCACAGCTAACAGCAGCCTTGACCTCCCAGGCCCAAATGATCTTCCCACCTCAGTATTCTGAGTAGCTGGGACCACAAGTGGACACCACGGCATCCAACTAATTTGTTTTTTTTTTTTTTTAGACAGAGTCTCACTCTCTGTGGCATGCTCTCGGCTCACTGCAACTTCTGCCTCCTGGGTTCAAGCAATTCTCCTGCCTCAGCCTCCCAAGTAGCTGGGACTACAGGCACGTGCCACCACACTCGGCTAATTTTTTATATTTTTAGTAGAAACAGGGTTTTGCCTTGTTGGCCAGGCTTGTCTCAAATTCCTGGCCTCAAGCAATCCACCCACCTTGGCCTCCCAAAGTGCTGGGATTATACCCCTGAGCCATGGTACCTGGCTGAGGTCATGAGTTTTAATCATCAGGAATATTATTAACTAGGGGAGACTAGGCTAAGTGCTCCATATGCACTACTGAAACCACACTGTGGGGTAGGTATTACTACTGTCCTGATCTCATGGCTGAAGGGAAGCTCTGGTAGTGACCTGCCCAAGGTCACATCGTTTGTGGCAGAGCCTCAACCAGAACCCAGGCATCTCTGAACACAGTCGGCTCTGGCTGGCATTTCGCAGTGGGCCCTGGATTTGCTGTTCTTACATTGGGCAAATCCACTCCATCAATCTGCATCTCAATTTCCTTACCTTAAGATATAGAAGTGATGAATCTTATTTTCCTACCTCAATGGAATTTGAGGACAGAGGAGATAAATTGCTTCATAAACTGTAATGTGCTGTGCTCAAAGAGCTATAAGAACCTTTAAGAATCATCTCAACATCTCAATTTCACTCAGAAAGTATTTACTGAGTATCCTTGTGTCCCAGACCTTGTGCTAGGCCAGGGCCACCCCAGGGAACAAAGCAGCCAATGTCCCTGCCCTCTCCAGGTTCTCGGCCTCTGGGGAAGACAAGCAAAGGGAGTTATTACAAGGAAGCAAGATGTAGTAAGCGAGAGCTTTGGGAGCTTCCAACGGGGGACTCCATTTACCTAGGGGGTCAGAAGAGGCTTCTTGGAGAAAGTGATGTGTAAGTGGAGGCCTCAAGGGAGAAAAGGGGAGGTTAGAGTGTTTCAGCAAAGAGAACAGCCTGGGTTGAGCATGGTGGCTTACGCCTGTAATCCCAGTACTTTGAGAAGCCAAGGCAGGAGAATCGCTTGAGGCCAGGAGTTTGAGACCAGCCTAGGCAACACAGGGAAACCTCATATCTACAAAAATAAAAGAATTACCTGGGTGTGGTGGCGTGCGCCTGTAGTCCCAGCTACTTGGGAGGCTGAGGTGGGAGGATGGCTTGAGCCCAGCAGTTTGAGGCTGCAGTGAGCTACGATTGTGCCACTGCACTCCAGCCTGGACAACAGTGAGGCCCTGTCTTGGACAGAAAAAAAAAAAAAAAGAGCAGAAGCAGCTTGTGTGATGGCCACAGAACAGAGGATACACTCCAGGAACTGAGAGCTGTGGATTGCTTGGAGAATGCAAGATGGTCAAGGGCGGGAGGACACTGGGTCGTGGAGGTTGAAAGCTACAGTAAGGGGTTTTCACTTCCTGCTGAAGGACAGGGGTGCCACATGAGGCTTCTAAGCAGGGGAGGCACAGGATGGTGTGGACCGGAGGCCCTGTAGAATCAGCATGGTGACAGAGGCTTGCTAGCCCAAAGCAGCTCCTTCCAATGGTGCACACTTTCAGCTGTGCCACTCACTTGAGCCCAGACCCTGGGGCATGGCCCTTTCGCCAGAGACACATACTCTCTCTTCTAGGAATTCTCCCGTTTCCATGAGGAGATCACCCCAATGTTGGATGGGATCACCAACAATCGCAAGGAGTGGAAGGCACTTGCTGATGAGTATGAGGCCAAGATGAAGGCGCAGGAGGAGGAGAAGCAGAAACAGCAAGCGGCCAAGCCAGGTTTATGGACGGGGGGAGATAGGGGATCCCACCACCCGCTCCCAGAGCACTCGGCGTCTGGGTCTGGCCTCGGAGCCTCATACACAGAGTCTCATTCAGGCTCCTGATGGCCAGTACTATTCCCATTCTGTGTGTGAGGCTGGAAGAGACCAAGTCACAATAAGAGTCAGAGCCTGGTTCCCAAGATTGAGGCTGAGAAAAGCTCCAGGCCTCCTAGCAAGTGCCTTCCAACCAACATAGCACAGACTCTGATTTTAGGGCTGTTGACATATGTCCCTACCCTGGGGCAAAGGAAAAGATCTAGAAAGGATCTAGAATTATTGGTTGGAAGGAATTTTATTTATATTTATTCATTTATTTTTGAGACGGAGTCTCACTCTGTTGCCCAGGCTGGAGAGCAGTGGTGCGATCTCAGCTCACTACAACCTCCACCTCCCAGGTTCAAGCAATTTTTCCACCTCAGCTTCCCGAGTAGCTGGGATTACAGCTGCCATCATGTCTGGCTAATTTTTGTATTTTTAGTAGAGACGGGGTTTCACCATGTTAGCCAGGCTGGTCTCACCTCAGGTGATCCGCCCACCTCAGCACCCCAAAGTGCTGGGATTACAGGCATGAGCCACTACATCAGGCCTTGAAAGAAATTTTAGAGGCCCTATTTCCAGCCTTGGGTCTGATGTTTGAAACCTGTCTGTACCATCAAGAGCCTATGCTTGCATACCACCAGTGACAGAGGTCTCATTATCTTACATGACATCCTTATTCAGTACCACTATTAGAAAGATCTTCCTTGAACTCAAATTGTTCTCCTTGTTGAAGCTTCCACTTAGTGGTCACGGTTCTACCTTCAGAATCAAATGGGATTTGTTTGTTCCAACTCTTCACTACTGACGGCACTGCCCCGCCCCTAAGTCATTTCTTTTACTGGTTATGTGCTCTGTTTCCTCTGTTTCTAGTTATGGCGTCTTGTCCCTGCCCCACCCTGACTGCCCTCCTCTGCATACCCATCCCTCTTCACCCATGGCTCTTACACATGGAAAATACCAGGGCCTCAGCTCTGCTCTGAGCAGCGTGGGTTGATTCTAAATGGGCAGCTGCAAATGCAGGGGCCACTTAGAGTTTTGTACTTCATGCTTTGCACAGCTCCAGGAGGCATCCTGTACATCATGGATGTGTATGGCTGTTCTAATTTTCTAGAATAATGGCAGTGAGGTGTCCTGAGAAATAAGTGCATTTTTCTAATTTGTACAAATTGTCTTTTGGGCAAGTGGTAGGTCAGTGCAAATTTGTGGCCTACAGATAGAAAATACAGATTTGGCTTACATTTTTTTCTCCTCTTTTTTTTCTTATAGCTAGCACATCAGTACCAACATTTCTTTTAATGTGATTTTTTTGGACCACATTTTAAAATTTGAATGTTTCAGATTTTAAAAGTCCAGATTTGCAGCCTCTCTTTTTCTTTTTCTTTTCTTTTCTTTTCTTCTTTTTTTTTTTTGTGATGGAGCCTCACCCAGTCCCCAAGCTGGAGTGCAATGTTGCAATCTCTGCTCACTGCAACCTCTGCCTCCTAGGTTCAAGTGATTCTGCTGCCTCAGCCTTCCAAGTAGCTGGGATTACAGGCATGTGCCACCATGCCTGGCTAATTTTTGTATTTTTAGTAAAGATGCGGTTTCACCATGTTGACCAAGCTGGTCTCAAACTCCTGACCTCATGATCCACTCGCCTCAGCCTCCCAAAGTGCTGGGATTATAGGCATGGCCACCGTGCTCAGCTCTTTCTTTTTTGGAGATAGTCTCACTTTGTTGCCTAGGCATGCAGTGGCGCGATCATAGCTCACTGCAGCCTCAAATTCCTGACTTCAAGTGATCCTCCCATCTCAGCTTCCCTATCAGCTTGGACTTCAGGTGTATGCCACCATGCCTGACCAATTTTGTATTTTTTTTTTTTTGTAGAAACTAGATCTTGCTATGTTCCCCAGGTTGGCCTCCAACTCCTGGGCTTAAGCGATTCTCCTGCCTCAGACTCCTGAAGTGTTGGGATTACAGGCATGAGGCACTGTGCCTGGTCCAGCTTTTCTTTTTAAAAGAGTAACATCCACACCAGTCTATCATTTTTGCATGGCAACAATTGGCTGAAGCTGAGTGGCAACTGCCCCCTTTGGATGAGACAGAGGCTGTCTCTAGTTCCTCAGTGTTCACCACTCCTGATGTCTCCCAGACACTGGTACCAAGTACTGGTTCTCATTTATCATCATCCTCATGCTGCTGCTTTTCTTAGAGAAATGTTCTCCATTTCTGTGGTTCTCCTCACACCTGGTTTGCCTTCTGTATGTGTGGTTATCTGTTGGCCGCTGAAAGCCTTTGAGTTTGCAACTCTTGGTCCAAATTAGGTCAAAGGGGAAGCCCACTGTAGCCTCTTGTCACCCGGCGTCTTCTCTTTCCTGTCTCATTGCAGTAGCCGCAGGAAATCAGCGGGGGGGAGACCCCAGCCCAGGGGGTGCAACTACATCCAAGTCCTGCTGTATCCAGTAACACCACCGGGGGTCTGCTGGCCGGACGTCACCACCCTTTCCTGGGAAGAGATGACCCAAGCCAGTGGAAGACCACACACCTTGAGAAGTAAAAGTGTCATAGGATTTGAAAGCTGATAGAGAATTTAGCTTCCAGGAGTGTTCAATCTTTCAGCTTCCCTGGGCCACGTTGGGAGAACTGTCTTGGGCCACACATGAAATACACTAACGATAGCTGATGAGCTAAAAAATAATCACACAAAAAAATCTCCTAATGTTTTAAGAAAGTTTATGAATTTGTGTTGGGCCTCATTCTAAGCTGTCCTGGGCTGCATGTGCCCCATGGGCTGTGGGTTGAACAAGCTTGGCTTACACCTTATCCGTGGCTTTTAAACATTCTTTTAGCCTTGAGAACTGCCTATTGAGCTAAAATCAATATTCCAGTTTCACAGACATCAATTAAACATTGAATTAATGCCAGATTCACTGGCTTGCTTAGAATAATTTTTGTTCTTTTTTTTTTCATTTTCTTTCTATTTACTTCCTTGAATCATTTTTGTTCTTATACTTTCATTTAATATATTATAAAAATTTTCAACCATTTTGAAAAGTAGAGGATTGTACACTGAATCCCTGCAAACCGTCACCCAGATTCCAATATCAAGATTTTGCTACATGCATTTCATCTGTCCTTTTTACATTTCCTTTTCAATTTTTTTTCTTACCTGAAGTATTTAAAGGCAAATCCTGGCCAGGTATGGTGACTCACACGTGTAATCCCAGAACTTTGGGAGCCTGAGGCAGGTGAATTTCGTGAGCCCAGGAGTTTGAGACCAGCCTGGGCAAAAATGGCAAAACCCTGTCTCTACAAAAAATACCAAAATTAGCCAGCTGTGGTGGCACTCACCTGTAGTCTCAGCTACTCAGGAGACAGAGGTGGGAAGATCTCTTGAGCCTGGGAGGCGGAGATTGCAGTGAGCCGAGATTGTGCTACTGCACTCCAGCTAGGGCAACTGAGCAAGACTCTGACTCAAAAAAAAACAAAAGGCAAATCTCAAATGTATCATTTCATTCTTCTACTAACTCGTCTTTAAAGAAATAAGGATATTTTCTAACATAACTGCATCCCTGGCCCATGAAACCGATGCCTGCCTAATACCCAGCTGTGATGTATGCTTCAATGGGCTGCACAGACCTCAAGCTTCAGCCAAGGACTTGGGACCCCGCCAGCTTTGGGTGCTGTTGGCAGACCACCCTCAGTGTCAGCCCCGTCAGGTGTTACTGCAGCCTTTCCCAGGCTGGCCTACACCCAATGACTGATCCATGCCAGGTGGAGGGGCCTGGCCATCTTGGCTGAGCATGGGCTCTTCTAGCTGCAGGATTCTTCGTGGGGTCCATCAAGGTTGTTGCTGGGCTCACATCACAGCTCAACCTCTCCCTCTGCCCACTCCTATTTCCTTCCCTTCCCCAGGCATCGGTCCCCAGGGCACTGCTTAATAAGCATCCTGCAGACTAAGTCCATTTTAAAGTGTGCTTTCTGGGGCACCCAGCTTGTGATGCCAGCCCTTAATCAACCTTCCTTCATTGTCACAGGAGTTTTTAATGGTTGGCTTGCCTGAATCTGATCCAAACAATTTCACACTTCAAATTTAGTTGTTTCTTTTTGTTGGTTTTTAGGAAAAAGAAGACGCACTTTTTTATTTTTGGATTTCCCATTGATTTCACAGAGTATAAATTAAGGCAAATTATTCTCAATTTCAGAACTTCTGTTTCTTAAATTAACAGGCATTCTGTTGGTTTAAAAAGATAGACGTGGTAGATAGAATTTCTTTCTTTCCTTCCCTCCCTCCCTTTCCTTCCTTCCTTCCTTCCTTCCTTCCTTCCTTCCTTCCTTCCTTCCTTCCTTCCTTCTTTCCTTCCTTCTTTCTTTGTGATGAGGTCTTGCTCTATTGCCCAGGCTGCAGTGCAGTGGTATGATCATAGCTCACTGGGGCCCCAACTGCCCAGTCTCAAGGAATCCTCCCATCTCAGCTCACCAAGTAGTGCTGACCACAGGCATGCACCACCATGCCCAGCTACTTTTTTTGTAGACATAGGGTCTCATTCTGTTGCACAGGTTGGCCTCAACTCCTGACCTCAAGTGATCCTCCTGCCTCAGCCTCCCAAAGTTTTGGGATTACAGGTGTGAACCACTGCACCTGGCCAGGACTTACTTCTTTTAAACTGAATCTAAGTATGTTTCGGCAAGTCTGCAATGCCTAGCAGACTGGCCTGATCAGCATTTGTACCATAGTAACTAATGTTGAAAACAGCACGAATAAACCAGAAGTTGAAAATTACAATAACATGCTAAAAGGTTGCAAGTCAATTTCTGTTAAGCTTGTCCAAATCTAAATTTTTTTCATTCTCTGTTGCTCCCCCCAGCTTAACTGAGGTATAGTTAGCAAATAAAAATTATACATATTTAAGGTATATGCTGTGATATTTTGATATACATTGTGAAATGACTGCCATAATGAAGCTAATATATCCATCACCTCACATAGCTATGGTTGTTTCCGAAGTCTCTTTTAGTCTACAAAGTACTCCTTCCTTATTTCCTTTGCCACCGACTTGCAGAAATAGTTTTCTCACATCTGTATTTATGATTGTTTCTTTGTGGCCGCATGTAACACATTCCTCTGTCTAATTCTAATAAATGGACATTAGCTCTAGAAGTTTTCTTCCTTCCACACTGAATGTTATGCAGAAACTAATATATTAAAACAGTTGCCTTGAGGAGAGGGAGCCACATGGTTTCCCCAAACAGTAAACCACACATCTACTGTAATCTCTCCTTTTAGACACACGAGGAAACTGAAGGCCAGTGAGAGGATGGGGCTGGGCCAAGTTCCTGGCACAGTTCCCCGGCTTCCCTCCAGGAGACTCCCAAGGTCACAGAGAACACAGTGTACAGGGCATCCACAGCCTGGTGGCTTCCAGGCCTCCACAGCTGATCAATCTGGGCTCCTGACACTTGAGCCCTGCTCCTATTTGCAGGTCATGTCAATAGACAGCGGGGTCTGGAAGTTCCATCTTTAAACTCCCAAGCTAGATGTTCTGCCCTGCGGCAATGCACATTCTGAGAGCAGTGGTCTTTAAGCACAGGCCTGTCCTAAGTGCATCACATGTGGCGGTTACATGGCAGAGTAGAAGGAGAAGTAAGTGTCACTCAGGAACACATAGGCATTGATGTGACTCTGCCGTCACATTTCTGAGTCCCTTCAGCAGGTTCCTTCTGCTCCACTTCCCAGCTTTTCCCAATCTGTCAGAAAAAGGTCAAGATCCTTGCTGTGCCTCTCCCAGATGACTTTGCTTAGCACCAAATGAGACTGAGCGCAATGAGGATCACAGCTGATGTTGATTAAGTACTTACCATGTCCTAGGTACCGTGCACAATCTAATTTCATCCTAACAACAACACTCCAAGGGAGAAACTATTCCTAGCTCCATTTATCGCATGGTGAGGAGCAGACTTAAAGAGGTAGGAAATCTGCCCAAGGACACCCAGCTGGTAAGTGGTGGAGCCAAGATTCAAAGCCAAGCAGCTTAGGCTGGCATGGTGGCTTACGGCTGTAATCCTAGCACTTTGGGAGGCCAAGGTGGGTGGATTGCCTGAGGTCAGGAGTTCTAGATCAGCCTGGCCAATATGGTGAAGCCCTGTCTCTACTAAAAATACAAAAATTAGCTGGGTGTGGTGGTGGGTGCCTGTAATTCCAGATACTTGGGAGGCTGAAGCAGGAGAACCACTTGAATCCAGGAGGCAGAGGTTACAGTGAGCCAAGATTGCACCATTGCACTCTAGCCTTGGTGATAAGAGTGAGACTCTGTCTCAAAAAAAAAAAAAAAAAGCCAAGCAGTTTGACACCAGAAGCCCAGCTTATAAGCATTTTCCTTGTACCATACTGCTTCTGGAAATCAGGTTTTGTTGTTGTTTTTAAAGACCGTAAGAACATAAAGGAACTTCGAGTTTAGCTAAGCAAATTGTTTCATATTTGGGAAAACCAGGGACCAAAGAGGTGGTTTGCCCAGTTCACACAATATAGAAGTGGCAGAGATGGGTCCCAAATGCAGGTCTTGAGGCTCTGCATCTGCCATCCTATTCCTTGCACTATGGCTAGGATCCTCTCAGGAATTCCTGATTGATGGGGCTGGGGCCCTGCAGTGAATGGAAAAGCAGGTCTCTTCTCCTGAAGCTTACCATCTACAACAGATGGGCAACAGGTACTAAGCTGTCAATCACACACATACTCTCTCTGAAGATTCTAATCACACCAGAGAGCTCTGCCCTAAGTGGAAACGTTTCTATTAATTGTAATGGGAAAAAATCGTGATGTGTTCCCTTGCAATCAAAGAAACCCAAGCAATTTTCAGAGATTGAGAAAAGAAAGCACCTGAACAAGAATATATGTATGAGTGTATATGAGTTATGTAATAAACAGCAGCCTGAAAATAGTTTGCACATAACATAAAATGTCATCATTCATTGTACCTGTTCTTGTTTGTTTATTTATTTTGAGACGGAGTCTCACTCTATTGTCCAGGCTGGAGTTCAGTGGTATGATTTCAGCTCACTGCAACCTCCGCCTCCCAGGTTCAAGCAGTTTTCCTGCCTCAGCCTCCCAAGTAGCTGGGATTACAGGCGTCTGCCACCACGCCCAGCTAATTTTTGTATTTTTAGTAGAGATGGGGTTTCACCATGTTGGCCAGGCTGGTCTCAAACTCCTAACCTCAGGTGATCCACCCACTTTGGCCTCCCAAAGTGCTGGGATTACACATGTGAGCCACCACACCCGGCCCATTCTTATTTTAATACAATTCTCTTCCTCAATGTTTCGACCTTTTGGGGCTCATCTTGCATTTAAAAGTAAAGCACAAAAAACGGCTTTAGGGTAAAATAAAGGCTAACCCCTTTGAGGCGTGAGGAAATGACACATAGGCACAATAGATGCCACTTCCTCACCCTACATGCTGGAAGTACACAAAGGAAAATGTTCTGAGTTCACTCAAATATCGCACACAATGCAGGCCTGCTCTGAGATTCGCTGACCGGAAACCGTTTTGTAATTTTTGTAATTACAACTTGATGAGTGTTTTGCCTGGGACCATAATGCCAAAATATCTCTTATAGTGCATTTATTCAATATGCCTGTGTGAAAAAGTTGATATGCCAAAACAAGGAAGTCTGTTCGGAAAGGGGTAAAGCTTTATAAAAGTCATGGCAAAAAGTTGTTCATGGAACAACTGTTGCGTGAGATGAGTCTCAATGATTATTTTATTTATTATATTTTATTTAATTTACTTTTTCAGAGATGGAGGGGTCTCACTATGTTGCCCAGACTGGCCTTGAACTCCTGGGCTCAAATGACCCCCCACCTCAGCCCCTGTACCCAGCATGAATGGATATTGTGAACTGTGAAAAGAGCTGTGAAGGAGGGAAAAGTGCGGTGAGGTGGGGTCTTATCTGAGAAGGTGATGCTGAAACTGACATCTCTTCCCCATTTAGTGGTCGCTGTCCATCAAAGAGCTCCCAGAACCAATAAGGAAAGACACACGCGGGCAGAGCTGTGGGTGGTATTTTCTTTTTAATCTCCATAGTGTATTTGTTAAGTTTATTTATAAGCAGATCACTTCACTATTTACAGTACATGAGCATAGAGATTCTACAGTTTTTGTGATGTAAACAATAACCCCACAGTGGGAGTTTGAGAAAAGAAGCCAGTTCTGAAGTATTTACAGACATTAAAATAGAACTTTATACTCACAGAATAATAATACATAGAGCAATTTGGTTAAATTATCTAGGAAACTATAGAATCTGACAATGTACAAATACGGGAAAACATTTTCTCATTTAGAAGGTAAGACAGAGAAATCACACCAGAAATAAAATAGGGACGATGACAACCACAATAATTAAAAGCAAAGAAGTTTTCCTTCTTGCCTCTCACAGATAAAGTATTTATATAAATAAGGACACAACCCAACAAAATGGAAAAAATATATAAAAATCCTCTACCAATTAAAAAAAATAGCAAAACTAAAAACTTGATTCTCAATCATTAGCAGTGTCCTTTAAAAAATTAAAATTTAGCTTTCTATTATAAATAACAAAGCAGATGTGTCCCTCTGTGTAGGTGAAATTCTTGCACCTTTCTCAATAAATGCATCAATGTAATTCCACACACACACACATACACAGGCACAGATGTGTGTATGTGTGCACAGATACACACACATACCCACCACAAACACAGCCTTACACTCACACACTCAGGCTGTAGTTACCTTGTTAAGCTTCCTAATAAATAATGCCCCCTACAGTAGTACCCCTGGGGATGACCAAACCTCACAGGTTTAGCCATTCCTTGGTTTGACCCTGTCGCAGAGTCAGGGAAGGCCCTGGCTCCTATTGCTCAGAATTCTCTAGGCTGCGTGGTCACACCAAGAGAAAAGGATTTGAGTCCAAGATTTGGAAATGCTGGAAAGGACCATAGGGACCACCTTGCCCAGTTGATTAAGGCTGGCTACAGACACCTTCTTTAGAAACCTGGGGTTGGGGAGAGGGCTCATGTTGGTTTCAACATTAGCACTGCCTCAGGAAGAAGCAGATGCTCCAAGCCAGTGCTAACAACATGGCACAAAGAGGTGAGGGGATGGGTGTGAACTCCAGGGCAGACTGCACTAAGCTGGACTTCTGGATGGTCATCTTCCCCAGAAACCATTTGGAAATCCAAGCAGTCTACTCCCCCAATCCACAGACCACCTTGTCCACGCTCCCCTTGAGATTTCCAACCTGTTTCCTTCAGAATCAGAACATCCCTCAAGAAACAAAGTTGGGAATAGTTTATGACTTTTTATTCCTAACACAAAAACATTTGACAAGATTTTAAAAATACAAAATACAAACAAAAAAATTGAACAAAAAAAACTATTTGGCTATTCGGTGGACCATATCAAAGGTCATGGCCAGGCCCCCCACAGAATTCTTTTACACAACGTCTTCTCTTGCCCTGACGGCATAATTCGGACCACCCAGCAAAGGTTTACGTAACAAGGTCGGCAGCTGGGCTGCCAGTATTGCAGTTACGGTAAACCCCTCCCGGGCCCCTGGACCTCCCCTGGTCCACTCCTCCTGTCTCTTCTGTCTCTTCTCTCTCAGTCCTGCGTGAGAGTCTACTAAGTGGCCGCTTCTGGAGTCTTCTGACCCTAGTGTTGCACTGATCTCTGAACACAAAAACAGTTGGTTCATGCCATCGTATTTCATTCCCAAAGTTAACGATGGACAGCAGCGTGGCCCAAAGGATTTATTTGCCTTCCATCTGGGTAGCTGGTGGAGACAACCTTTGACCACTAGATGGCGACCACATGTTGATAAGGCAAAGTGCTGAGGTGGAAACTGACCAGTCCCCTTCACAAATAACCAATGAGCAAGGGTGGTCAAGTGAAAAAGGAAGCTTTTATAAACCGCCTTGGTGACTCCAATGACCAGAAAATACTGCACGGTGGCGGGGGAGGGGAGGCTCTAGTTATATAAACCCCTCTTGGAGGAGTTGTTGCACAGCCCAGGGACCAACCACCTATAAAACCTATTTTCCAAGCCCCAAACTCAGGCAATTAGATTTTTGAACTCCTCCCGGATGTGCAAAGCTTCTGATGAAATGGAGTATCTGAAAAGCCGTCCCCATGAATCACGAAGCCTCAGTCACTGCTGCTATACCATTAAAGAAACAAAAAACAAAAGCTGCCCTAAACATATGCAGCGTGATCAGTGCCTCCTGTTGCCCCATATGTTTTACAATCATTTGAAAGAAATGTGTGAAAAGTGCCTAAGCTGTTTAAAAAAAAGTGTATTGCTAGTATTGTCTGAGAACAAGAGAGAAAAAGCCAAGTGATCACAACATATGCATTAACATCTGTCCAGTGGGGACAAAGATGAGGTTAATGTGAGATTTGACATTACCCAGCCAAGTTGGGGGTTTAATTCCTTATTGTCCCCACTAGAAACTATGGCTTAGATCTGTCCTGGAGAGCTGGCCTCCTTGGATAAGGCAACTCAGCCAGGGCACAGTGGGACTGAACCTGCTGCTAGTTGGTTCTGGCAGAGAACACTAACCCTGAACGGGAATTGGGTCAAGTCAGAGAATGGACTCAGTTTTAAGGAGAAGTGATGGATTCCCAATGCTCCTGGTTAGGAATCTGAGTCTCTCAGAAGTCAAAGAGACTTTAATGTTCATATTCAACATTCTTATTTGGTAGATGAGGAAACAGGGACCCAAGATCACACAGCAAGTAAGAAACATTGGGGTTTCTGATTCTGAGATGGCTTATAGTTAAGTGACTTGCTCTACAAACTCATTTCGCTGTTTTCATCTCTCTGTAAAGGTAAGTACCAAGATCTAAATCCATGGCTCCCTGTTTCTAGGGCTTCCAACAAAAGGCTAGCAAAGGGTTGGCCCTTGCACTGGCTCTCCTGCTGCTGACATCTCCAAAGGCATCTCTGCTTTTCTCCTTGACAGCAGCACCATTCCTGAACTCCCTGTCCCAGTCTGTAGAACACCTCCCACAGGCAAAGGAGACCCATATTTTCCAGTGTAGAAACATGGAGCCAGGCTGAAGTGTTGGGGTTTTCTCAAAGTGCGTTTATTGAGCAATGCAAAGTCAGCCTTTGCCTACTTCCTGGGCATCTTGCAGCCGGCTCCCAGGGCTTCCCCCATCCCATGGTGGTTCTGGGCCAAGGACACATTCATGCATGTGGGTTTCCAACTAGGAAGCTTTCCCTCCATTTACCCTGTACCTCTAAACTTGGCAAGCAGACCTGGAGCCCATCCATGTGTAAAAACACCTCAGGGACTAGGGGGACACCTTTAACATACTCCACATAGCACTGATTAGTTTTCTCCTGCCCCAGTGGGAAGGGATGACAGGGTCCCTCTTCTCTGGCCAGTGAAACCATTACATTCACTTTCTTTGCTATTGTACATCTAATTTCTTGTCTTAATCATATCTGATGCTGGGATATGGGTTATTCCAAACTGAAGGCAGCTGCTAAATCTCAAATGCTAAAAAAATACCACAATTTGACATCAGTGAGTCAGAACAATACATACTCTGAGACTGATTTTGCTTCACAGTTGGGATGAGCCATCTCTCAAGCTGCAGGCTCAGCTGGGATTAACTGACTCTGTATCTGGGATGGGCCACGAACTGAGCTATCCATGCAGAAAGACCAGACTGTCCATGCCTTCCCTGCCCCTCTACTCACCACTGCACAGCAGCCCCGGTGGGCCTACTGCACATGTCTAGGAGAAATCACTCTAAAAAACCAACAGGCACAGGCTTTAGGCAACAAAAGACGTCTCACTACATCTCTTCCCACGTCAGAACTTGAGTACTGGGTCTTTGCAGCTCAGAGCATTCCTCCCTTCCTTCTCCTGCCCACAAAGCCCTGCCTCTCTCCTGAGCACATATGACACTCCATGCTGCAAGAATTCAAGGCAGATGCTGATACCTTATGGGTGCTTTTTGACTCAAAGCAGTTTTTTGGCTAAGGGAGGCAAATTGTGACGGGGCAGGGGGTGGGGGCCTTAGCTGCACTCCATCCACTCATATTCTTTACCTCTTTGATGCATTTTCCTTCGGTAACCAGAGCCCCCAAGAATGAGGATTCTGATTCAGCCTTGTATAGACTGAGGAAGGAGATGGAAGAATTCCACTTAGTGGTTGGATTGGACATTTTTGGAAAACACCAGCACAGCACAGAAATGGACAGTACGACCTGCCCCGCACGGGCAGCTATCGACACAGTCTACAGCAAGCTTTATGGCGATCACATGTAAACATCATTGAGAGCAAACACTAGGACAGAGCTACAATGAGATGGTTGCCAATGGCAGCTGCTCCCTCTGGGTTATTCCTCAGTTTGGTGGGAAGGAGACCAAGGTTCACTCGTTTTCCTGAACAGACCTTGGAGTTGCCTTAGTAAATAATACAGAGCACCGAATGAGTCCTTCGGGATAGAGGTTGTCTGCAGGGCTGGTAAATTTTAGAACTTGTAGCATTTTATGTACGGGATGGCAATAGAGACTACTCAATGCCCTCGGCAGGCAGCATCCCCCAGCCCTGACTTAATGGCATGTCATGTCCCAATGCCACGCTCAGGTTTCTGCTCAAGGGCCAATGTCTAGGCTAACTTCAAGTGTCCTAGATTAATCTGACATGAAAGGACAGCTTCAGCTGACCCCAAAGCAGGGAGTGACAGACTTGTCCTTTGCTAAAACTCCCAATTTCTTTACTCTAAAGTACTACTAGCCCAAGGCCGACCCTTTGACCAAGTGCAATCAAGGAAAAAGCAAATAGGAGGAGGGACTTAGAGATCATCCATGGTCCAACTCTTTTCAGCACACCGAGGGGCCAGGGAGCGGAAGGGACTTACCAAAGTTACAAAGGAAGTTCTTGGGGGGAGTCCAGCTCTCCAGACTTGGAGTTCTTTCCTATCTCACTTCTCTCCTTAGTGCAAATCAGGACTTACTTAGTGGAGGCAGCAGAAAGATCTAAATTCTATCCCATTCCATAATCATTTGTTGTGTGCCTACTATGTGCTAGGCAGTGAATAGCTATAAAGGAATTCAGAATGATCAGGTCTATGCTGTGGGAAGTCCCTTTTTTGGTCCATCCTCTTAAGCCCTGCCTTCCCGAAATATGTGCCTGTCTGTTACTCATCTACTGCCCCCTGCACCTTCTTCAAGGGGATGTGTATGTCAAAATAGTATTGGGAGTTTTGTGCCACAGAATAGCATTAGGGGAGTTTTCTCTCATGGAACTGAACATCATAGACAGGGATACGCCACCATGAAACTCAGGCAGCATATGGTTCTGCGTGATTGTTGGAAACCTTCCAAAGATTAGCCCAAGATGTCAAATAGATTAAACTCTGATCAATTAGTAATGACTTACCAGAGCACTGATTCCAGGATTCTTTTTTTTTTTTTTTTGAGACTGAGTTTCACTCTTGTTACCCAGGCTGGAGTGCAATGGCACGATTTCAGCTCACTGCAACCTCCATCTCCTGGGTTCAAGCAATTCTACTGCCTCAGCTTCCCTAGTAGCTGGGACTACAGGCACGCACTATCATGCCCAGCTAATATTTGCATTTTTAGTAGAGATGGGGTTTCACCATGTTGACCAGGATGGTCTCGATCTCTTGACCTCATGATCCACCCGCCTCGGCCTCCCAAAGTGCTGTGATTATAGGCGTGAGCCACCGTGCCCAGCCGATTTCAGGATTCTTATAGCACATCCAGGCTCAAGGAACCCGAGTGCTGTGATTAGTTATGTCTGTATTGGTCAAGGAGCTGGGAGTAGTGGCACATGTACTACGTATTTGCCATCTTGGGCTAGACACTGCCTCAGCAGAAGCTAACAATGTTGAAACTTGTCTAATCCTCCCCTTCAGTTCATTTCACACAAAAGGAAATTGGGGTCCAGAGGGGTCAACTGCTGTGACACACTGCAGTTCAATATCCCTATCCTCGCTAAAGCCTGCCTCTTCCGGCCTTATCCATGAGCTGATAGTATGCTCACCAACCAGTGGAAGACCATGGGCTCATTTTACCTACTGAGGTATTTGATAATCTTTAAAAAAGTCAATTCTCAACAAACTAGGCTTGGCATAAGCAACAAATTACATTAGCCTGTTTAGTTTAATGAGCCACTTTCAAAACTTTTTTTTTTTTAGGCCGAAGGACCTTTAAAAATATATATATATAAATTTCCCAAGGAACCCTGCTGTATGAGAGAAATCAGAAACAGTACACTCATCCCCTGCCTGGCCATGCTGCCCTAATGAATGACCCCCAAGGTACCCACAGAACATTAAGCTGGAAATGGCTTTGTCATCACTTAAGAACACCAAATTTAAAGTAAAGTCCAATGGGAGTGTTTTTTTCAGTTGGAAGGGAGCTGGGAGATTGTCCTATCTACTCCCAACCTTCATACCCTCCTCCTGGCTCCCCTGTCCCAGCTACCAAAACAACTTTACAGACAAGGACAAAGGACTACCTGAGGGTAGGATTGCCTGGTGGCTAGCCCAAAAAGGATGACTGCTCCCAGACCACCTGTCTGCACCACTGCCAGGGGTGTCACCAAGTTCTGACAGTGTGTCCACAGGAGGAGGCAAACCGCAGGACCACTCAGGATCACAGCTGATGGTACGCCCAAGACACATGCCAGGGCTTGAATTCACCTGACGCCGGTGAGTCAACTGCTGAAGTAACCCCTAAAATGAGCCCTTAGGCTTCTAGTCTGGTGCCCAATTTAGCCAAAGTCACCTCTACCAGTCCCTGAAACTGCATCTTTACCCCAGCTACTATGGAAGCATGGGACCAAGAATCGGAAGACCTGGTCTGGGTCACCCCTCTGCCTTCTCACTGGCCATGGGACCTCCCACAGTCATTTCACCTCTCGGGGTGCTGCCAGCCTCCCCTGGAAAACAGGAATGATACAGCTTGCCCCCTCTTCATTACAAGGTACTCAAGGGTCTGAGTATGAATGGATGGGCACACGCTTGAAGTGTGAGCGGGGCACAGGATGGGGGCTCTTGTAATTTGAGCCAAACTTGCTCAGCAGGAGACAGGGCAGGGCGTGGCAGATAGGGCCTGGAAACCGCAGGGAAACCAGCCTAGCGGCCACCCAATACCTCCAGAGCAATCTGGTGAGGGGAGCAGAGCAGCTCAGTGGCAAACACCTCACAACAGTGCATAGTTAAAAAATCAAGGAAGCAATACAATAATCCCAGGCACAGTACATCTGAGCCATAGATACATTATTTTAAGTATATACTTTTTTTTTCTTCAATTAAAAATGAAGTTTATAATCCTGATTCTATTCACAAGTAACAGTTTCATCATCGCACACTACAGACAAGAAATGTTACGGTGAACACAGCTGCAAGTCTACCACAGGAAGTCAGTCGGGAAGGAGGGGCGATGGGTGACTGACCCGGCACTTCGAGGTGCACCCAGGACAACCCGTTGGAAGCGAGGACACTAATGTGGCAGTGGAACGTCAACACCATGGAAACTCACAGACAGAAGCAGCTTTGTTCAATGTAAACATTGATTTTTTTTTTTTTAAAGGACAGCAGTTTCAAGTCTCTCTCACGGGTGTTCTCTCACGCTCGCTCGCTCTCTCCTCATATACTTGATTTCTTTGAAAACGTAAACATATTGGAAGGGCCTCGTCTGAGGTATTGAGGTATTCCTCGAGGGTTAAGGCTGTTATCAATGCAGGCTCTGCTGGGCCTCTTTCAGTAAGCTGTCAAAATCCATGGCTTCGTACTTGCTTTTCCCTGACGCAGGAAGGGCCTCTTCTGAATTGGAATCTGGCCACGGGGGTGAGGAGACAGGGAAGAGCAGTGAGCAACTTACAAAGACCGGATGGTCAAAACATCTGCCACTATGTGTGGGCACCATGGAGTGGCTGCCCCCCAAGGCCTTGGGGAGCTGGGACGAGCACTGGTCTGTGGGCACTGCCTGCCATCCTGCCGGGAGATCTTGGCCATGGTGTCAGTGTCTCGGGGCCTTGGCTGCCTTGTCTAGAGGCCTGGAGTCCCAAACCAGAGCGCCGCAGAGGCTTTCTAGCTCCACACCCTACGACTCCACTTTCCCTGGCAGCTTCGTGCTCATTAGCAACCTGCAGCGTCGCACAAAGGGAGGGCTAACACCACTAGGCCTGGTCTGGGTCACCCCTCTGCTTTCTCACTGGCCATGGGACCTCCCACAGTCATTTTGCCTCTCGGGGTGCTGCCGTTAACCATTATTAACAATCTGATTGTTAACAGATTGGGAAACTGATTCCCATAAATGGACATGCAGCCAAGTATAGTGCCGCCTGACCTGGCTCCTGGCCAGGCCACTGACACTCAGTCCTGTACCATCAAGGCTGCTTTGGATTCTCTCCAGTAAGTATTTTTCTCCCCATTTGGAGACAGGGTCTTGCTCTGTCACTGAGGCTGGAGTGCAATGGTGCCATAATGACTCACTGCAGCCTCAACGTCTCTGGTTCAGGTGATCCTCCACCTCGGCCTCCTGAGTAGCTGGGACTACAGGCACAAATCACCATACCTGGCTAATTTTTGTACTTTTTGTAGAGATAGGGTTTCACTATGTTGCCCAAGCTGGTCTCAAAGTCCTAGGCTCAAGTGATCCTCCCGCCTCAGCCTCCCAAGGTGCTGGGATCACAGGCGTGAGCCACTGCACCTGGCCAAGTAATTCTTTTGTACATTGTACTTCTTTGTCCTTCATCATCTTGTCCCCAGGTGGCTGCTGCCTTGTCTGGGGTCACCATGGAATGCCCCTGAAGGGGACAGGACAGCAGCTGACCCTGTGAAGTCAAGGAGACCGTAGCCACGGTTCTGCCAGCTGGCCGTGCACACAATTGAACCTTCCCAGAGGCCACAGGAGGCTTGATTCTCTTTGGTAGCAGTCACAGGATAGGACAAGGTGGACCAGAGGCCAGAAGAAAAACAAGATGGTAGCCTTCAGGCAAAGGAAGGGGTTGCAAAGTTATACCAAGCAGCACACTGGGGTGTGGGGACGGGAGCTATGACCACAAGCAGCTTTAGTTTTGTTCGAGGGAGGCACTGCCTCTCAAGCTTGGAGTCTTCCTAGACTGTGGCTGGGTCTTGGGGGCTTACCGTAGTCAGTGTATCTGGGCCAGCAGAAGTGCCGGAACCCTCCGTAGCTCAGCTGGAAGGAGGGCTCATTGCGCTTCCTCAAGGCAGCACCATTCCTCAGAGAGAGGGCTGCGTGCTCAGAACACCGGTAGGTGATGAAGCCATACTTCTTGCCTCTGCAGGGAGAGAACAAGGGGAGGATGTTATTGGGCTGGCTGGGTGGACACTGTGAGACCACCCATTGCTAGATGAGGAACTGACTGCCACAGTGATTCGACACATCACGTGGCCTCCCAAGTAAAGATAATGCTGACCACTGGGCTGACTTCTGCCACATGGGAGTAACGAAAGCAGCTAAGATGTTGAATGATTGCCAGGTGCTGGCCACCATAGCTTGCCTTGCACACTCCTCAGATGAGCCTGTGAGGTGGGTACTGTGGTTATCTCCACCTTGCAGATGAGGAAAGAGGTTCTGTGGAGTTCAGTAATTTACCCAAAAGCAAGTGTCAGAGCAGGGATTCAAATCCAGCCCTCTGACAGTAAAGCGGATACTCTTACTACCGGTATGTTTCGCCTATCATTCCCATTTCCCTGGATCTGCCACAGAAATGGCAAATCCCCCGCCTACTACTGTACCACTCTCTGCCTCCTTCAGAGCCAGCCTTGGTCACCAATTCCTTGGCTGCCATCTTGGCCCTCACCTCCCCTAACAGGGCTGGTATTCTGCACACCTCCTGCCCTTCATGGTAGGCATCTTTGATGCCTGTTCAGCTTGCACTCGCCTTCCCCTGACAACAGCATGTGTGGTCAGCCAGGGTCAGGGTGCCAGAGCAAGGCACATGACAATGGCTCTTCCTGGACACCATGATTTGTTCAAGGATAAGCCCGTTACTCAAGGCTGAACCCCAAAGAATCCATCTCGGGTTCTGTAGTCATGTAGTGACTCCTGCTTCCCCAGGAATCTCTAAGCTGCTGATAGCTTAAAGCTACAGGCAACCACTCTGCAACCAGAAAAGTCTGCCTGAGAAGGACCAAAAGTCACTTCTATTCCAACTTTTCGCTTCCATGAACAACAGAAAGAATTCCGACTGACACTCATCTGCTATGTAAACTACTCAAAGCAGAGACAAAGCGGCATTCACCCACAGCTTAGGTCAGGCTTACAAAGAGTGAGTCTATAATAAACATTTATAAGAATCATGTTTCCCAACACCTCTCTGAACCAGGGCCAAGTTTGAACCGTTCTGCCTCTTTATTTATTTTTGAGAAAGAGTTTTGCTCTGTCGCCCAGGCTAGAATGCAGTGGTTGTAATCCCAGCTCCCTGTAGACTCTGCCTCCCAGGTTGAAGCAGTTCCCATGTCTCAGCCTCCTGAGTAGCTGAGATTACAGACATATGCCACCACACCAAAAAGTAAAAATACTTTTTGTATTTTTAGTAGACATGGGGGTTTCACCATGTTGGCCAGGTTGGTCTCAAACTCCTGGCCTCAAGTGATCTGCCTGCCTTGGCCTCCCAAAGTGCTGGGATTACAGGCATGAACCACTACACTTGTCCCCTTCTTCCTCTTTAAATGTCTAATATTGGTAATACATCCAAGACTCTTTGTAAAGATCTTTTGTGTTTTTAAAATCTTAACAGATTGATCTTTCTCTTCGGAGATTAGTTCGCCTCCTTTATTTTTGCATGCTACCTTCATTTGATATCCTAAAAACTGCACAGAACTTGAAATGGTTCTATTTGTATAATGGTTCTTTTAAAAAGCAATTTGGTAGAAACACTTAGGACATTTACCATCTTTACCATTTTTAAGCATACGTTTGGCAGTATTAAGCATACTCACACTGCTGTGCAAAAGCTCCATAAATTTTTCACCTTGCCAAACTGAAACTTTATGCCCATGAAATGACACCTCCCTTAGTCCTCCTCTCTGCAGTCCCTGGTAACCACCACTCTTTCTGTTTCTATGAATTTGACTACTTTAGACATAGCATATAAGTGAAATCATACAGTATTTTGTCTTTTTGTGCCTGGCTGGCTTCACTTAGCACAATGTTATCAGGTTCATCCATGTGGTAGCGTGAGTCAGAATTTCCTTCCTTTTTAAGGTTTCATAATATTCCACGGTATGTACATAAACCATATTTTGTTCACCTATTCATCTGTTGGTGGACATTTGCGTTGTTTATACCTCCTGGCTATTGTAAATAATGTCGCTATGCGCTTGGGTGAACAAATATCTCTTGGAGATCCTGTTTTCAACTCTTTTGGATATATACCCATAAGTGGAATCGCTGGATCAGATGGTGGTTTTAGGGTTAATTTTTTGAGGAACTGCCATATTGTTTTCCATATCAGCTGCATCATTTAAAATTCCCACCAACACTGTGCAAGAGTTCCAGTCTCTCCACATGCTTGCCAGCGCTTCTTTTCTGGATTTTTGATAGTAGCCACCCTAATGGGCAAGAAGAGTATAATAACTCTTACACCAGAAGCAATTTCCCCACTGAAGCTTTCTATTATTATTATTACCATATTCGAATGTTAAAAACCCTAATAACTTAGTTTGCAGATACCACAGGATATAATTTAGAAATATTTCAAAACTGACAAAGTTTTGACATCGAAATTGTGTATTCATGTGCAACCTGTTCTTTTTGCAGGTCCCGACAGGTAAACACTGCTTCTCCAAGTGAGCAGTGAAAAAGCAGGCTGCCTAGTAGAAGAGAAGGCCTGGGACTTTGTTTTTTTTTTGAGTCAGAGTCTTGCTCTATCACCCAGGCTGGAATGCAGTGGTGTGATCTCAGCCCACTGCAACCTCCACTTCCCAGGTTCAAGCGATTCTCCCGCCCCAGGCTCCCGAGTAGCTGGGAATACAGGAGTGCACCACCACATCCAGCTAATTTTTTTTTTAGTGGAGACAGGGTTTCACCATGTTGGCCAGGCTGGTCTCGAACTCCTGGCCTCAAGTGATCTTCCTGTCTTGGCCTCCCAAAATGCTGGGATTATAGGTGTGAGCCAATATAGGTACCCAACCAAGGCCTGGGACTTAATGCAGAGGAAGGGAGGATGTGAGCAGCACAGGGCTTGAAGTAGAGTGGGGTCCCAGTGCAAGTCTTCAAGCAGCCCTGCACTATCTCCAGGGCAAAGGCCCTGAAGCAGACACATGGGCTCCGGTTCTCGCTCTGCCACCACTAGCTACCCAGTTAACTTGTCTAAACTTCTGCAGAAAGGAGAGCAATTGAAAGACTATGAGTGCTTATGACCCAGGCATACTGGCAAGTTCAGATAAAAGAACAAACAGAAACTGCCTGGCACTTAGTAAACCATCAGCACGGGTTTGCTGCTATTACTCCCTGCGCTACCATTTTTGGTCCTTGTCCTGGGCCTGGCTTTCCACATCTAAGCTATGGATTTCATCAGGTTTGTTCCACAAATCTTGGGAATCTTCTTGTACCCAGCTCTGGATCAGGACTGGTGCCCCGCTCTGCTCCCTTCATCTGCCATAGCTTAGCTCAACTCACCTCTTACTTCTCGTCAGCACCTCGCACTCCACAATCTCGCCAAACACTTCAAAGCGCCTCTTCAGCTCTCGGGAGCTCATGTCACTGGAGAGATTTCGAATGTACACCACACGGCCTTCACCCTGCCCGAGAAGGAGGACAGAGAGAGACCCACTTATTGCCTGGCTTCCTGGGGTCCCCTTGGGGGTGGGCTCCCATGGAGTCCTTGTCCTAGTCCATGGATGCCTGGCTGAGTGAGCAATACCAGCTGGAGTCAGAGAGAGGACAAGGCCAATCTCTACCCCAGAGGACTTGCCCTTATTGGGGGAGGGTGTTGGAAGGGAAGAGGCCCCCAAGGAAGCCACTGCTTACATGAAGGTAATAAGCAGAGCCTGGGGCTGGGAAGGGGAAGTGATTATCACCATTGATACACCTGCAGATGCAGTGGCTTCTGGACTTACCTTTCAAGTCTGAGCAGGGGAGGTGCTGGGGTGAGGCAAGCACAGGAGGCAGGATGTTCGTGAGTGTCAGAGTGGGCTGGAAGGAAGGGTCATGAGGCGAGGGCACCAGGGCTATTAGAGCCACCATTATCTCTGGTTTTGCCTGAGCAAAGCAGCTGAAGTCACAGTATAGACACTGAGACCAAGGCATCACCTTCAGGAGAGCTCCGTGCTATGCCAGTGGGTGCCTAGAACAGCCCAGCAGAGGGAGGGGGTGGGAGACTTTTGGAATTCTCCTTCCTCTCCTCTCAGATTTGTGATTTGATCTGGCTGAAGCCACTGCTATTGGAACAGTCACTTTGGCCTGCTAGAGAAACCACAGGCTTGTTCCTGGAAACCTGTGCTCCCAGAGGAAAAATGCAGTTTCTTGTCTTAGACAGGCTTGCTCTGGAAACAGGTTACAGCCAGTGATTCTCCAGCCATCCCGCCCATGTACTACATATGGCAAGGAAGAAAACCCAGGCGGCGGGTCCACAAGCAGGACTCCGTCGGCAACAGTCAGGGAACTGTACATCCCGCAGCATGTGATGTCCAAGCTCAGCTCAACAGAGAAATCCCCTTCTCCCACCCTCCTTGCAGCTTCTTAAAGTCATAAAGCTCTTTCCTGCCACTGCTCCAAACACTTGTCCCCCTGAGTCTTTGCTTGGTTGCTCCTTTTCATCAATTAGGGCTCAGCTCCCTGAAGGTGCCCTTCCCTGGACACCCCATAAACACATCCTCCTCAACAGTCCTGCTTACTTCAGATTGTTACTAATTGCACATTACTGATTTCACAGTGCTTATCCCAATCTGTAATTACATTGTTTATTCCTTTGTTTACGAGTCTATTATCTCTCTCTTCCTTCTGCTCAGCCAGGAGGGAGCCTCATCTCTTTTGTTCATTGCTGTCCTCCAATGCCCAGAATCGTGCTCGGCCTGTAATTGCTGAATGACCAGACAGACTCCAAGAAGATTCTCCACGCACAGCCCATGGTTTTAAGTACCTGCCTGCAGACAGCTGTGCAGCTCTAGGGCATGCACACCTCCTGCGTACCCCTCCTCCCTGAAGTACCACATCACATGGGAGAGATCCAATGGGAGTCTTTTTGTGTTTCTATACTATTTTCCTCCTTCCTTTCTAGTGACATGGCATAGCTGGCTTGCTCCAGCTCCCCACTCCAGACACCTGATGTGTCTTCTCTGTGGGGAGCTTTGCAGTGGGTTAACAGGTAAACCCAGCAGGCCAGGCCTGTGGACTAACTCTGGGAGGGAAGTGGGGAGGAAAGGACAGGCTCTCTTGGTCCCTTAGCCCTGATCAAGTTGGGGGAATCCATGGAAAGCACAGGCCCAACTCCCTTATGTACAGATGAGGAAAGTGAGGCTCGGGGAAGCTGGGGACCTGCCCACAGTCACACAGAAGGTGGTGGCAGGGCTGGCTTGTGACCTGGTCAGCCTGGCTCTGCTCTCCACTACCACAGCCTGCCTACCTGGCTCTCTCTAGGCCCTGACACTGAGCCCTCGATCACCACCAACAGCACACTCACGGCCAGCCTCTTGGCTGAACTTTGCATGGTGCCACCTTTGATGCCCTTTGGCGATGCTTGTGCTCTTCAAATGAGAGAAATATTGTCGTCTGCTGCCACAGTCCCTTCTTCCCCAGGCAGAGGCCGAAGACTGAGGGGCTCACCAGCTAGCCTCAAAAGGCTGTGGTCCATGAGGCCCCTGCACTTCCTGCTAGTCCCCATTCATTCCGGGCTCTGGGCCCCCAGATCACTTACAATGGCCTTTTCCCGCCGCTTCCTGGCGTGCCGGGTGCTTGGCGTTCTGTCCGAACACGGCCCTCTGCTCTCACATCTGTCAGTGAACAAGCAAAGCAGAAGCACTCACTCTCAGGAGAGACCATGGGGGTGGGGGTGGATCTGCTCCAGGAGGCAAGGGATGCTTCCTTAGGACTCATTCATGGGGCATATGAGCTGCAACTGCCTCCTGCAGAAACCCAGCCTCCCCTTCCTCAACAATGGCCCAGGGCTGTGTGGACGCATGCCTACTGCCAGCTTCTGGCCTGGATCGCTGGGAACCACTGTGTTGCTCATTATAACCCCACCCTCTGAGCCTGGCCTCTCTATGCCATTAGGCATAGAAAAATCCTTTTGTTGGCTGGGTGCAGTGGCTCACACCAGCACTTTGGGAGGCCAAGGCGGGCGGATCACAAGGTCAGAAGTTTGAGACCAGCCTGACCAAAAGGATGAAACCCCATCTCTGCTAGGGATACCGAATTAGCAGGGTGTGGTGGCACACGCTTGCAATCCCAGCTACTTGGAAGGCTGAGGCAGGAGAATTGCTAGAACCTGGGAAGTGAAGGTTGCAGTGAGCTGAGATTGCACCACTGTACTCTAGCCTGGGTGACAGCGTGAGACTCCATCTCAAAAAAAAAAAAAAAAATCCTTTTGCTTTATTATCTTATTTGTTCTGATTTTTAAAAAAACTCAATGAGGTTTTATGTTTCTCCATTTTCCAGGTGAAAAATCTGAGACTCAGGTTTGAGATGGGATTTGCTTAAAGCCAGAAAGCAGAGAAGTCAGAAGCAGGTCCCTCTGGTTCCAGAACCACTGCTCTCTATGGGTTCCTGCCTTAGCCAAGCAGCAGCCCCTGCCCATCGCAGCTCCATGCTTCTGGGTTGGCTATCAGGCTCATTAGTCCCACGGCCAAGCAGGCTCCCAGGTACCGCCCGCCTGCAGCCTTTTTTGCCTGCCTGCACGCTGCCCTTACTCCTCCAGTCTGAGTCACTGCGAAATACAGCACAGAGGACAAGAACACAGGCTTGTGACTCAGACGGCTTGAGTCTGAATCTTGGCCCCAGCGCCTCCCTGTTGGGTGACCTTGAAGCAGTTATAGAAGCCCTCTCAGCTTCAGTTCTTCGTCTATGAAATAGGGATAACCAATTTAGCCATTTGTGAGGATTAAATTTAAAAATGCATGTCGGCTGGGCGCGGTGGCTCACGCCTATAATCCCAGCACTTTGGGAGGCCGAGGCGGGTGGACCATGAAGTCAAGAGATCGAGACTATCGTGGTCAACAAGGTGAAACCCCGTCCCTACTAAAAATACAAAAATTAGCTGGGCATGGTGGTGCGCGCCTGTAGTCCCAGCTACTTGGGAGGCTGTGGCAGGAGAATTGCCTGAACCCAGGAGGCGGAGGTTGCGGTGAGGCAAGATCGTGCCATTGCACTCCAGCCTGGGTAACAAGAGCGAAACTCCCTCTCAAAAAAAAAAAAATGCATGTCAATGCTTAGCCCAGGAACTGCTCTGTAAATATTTGCTCTATTTTTCTATGTAACCTCTTGGAGCCTCAGCTTCCTCATCTATAAAATAGGGATAAGCAGCAGATACACCCTGTGAAGCTCAAACAGGATAACGGAAAGGGAAATGACCTGCGTCTTTAAAGGGTGACCTAATTAGAGTATGATCATCCCTTTTGCAACAGAATTAGTAGACTTTCCCCACCTGAAGAGCTGAGAGTGCCTGGAAGGTACTGCGGTATTCAGGATTTGTGTTGTTAACCCAGCTTAAAGGGCTTTCTGTTGCTGGGTGTTTGGTACAGGTCTGGAGAAGGCTGATTAGCAGCTCACCAGGTTTACCAGATACTGAGCTCAGCCAGGTAGCTGAGCAGGAGCCAGTTAACCAATTAAGTTTCTGAGTGGGCAGGAAAAGCCAGCCCTGAACCTGGCCCAAAAGTGAGAAGAGAAATAGGGGGCGGTTTCTAGAGAAGTTCTCAACTCTTCCCAGGCAGTTCTATGAATGCAGGCCCAGCCCAAACACCTCTGAGCTGGGCAGGAGAGAAGGGAGGGCAGGGAAGCTCTGGCTTGGGGGATGTGTTTCAACATGAAGAGAACCTGGGAAGCTGCCTACTAAATGGAGATTGAGTGCTTCAGCTCACAGCAAAGCAAGGCTGAAGCCAAACCTTTGACACTGGACCACTGCAGGGCAGAAGCTACTCCTGGGGAAGAAGGGAGCCAGAAAGAGAGGCTCAGCAAGGTCGGCAGAATACAGCTATGACTGACGGATCCCGGCTTCAACAGCAAGTAAGGGCTTGTTGGAGAAATCGCTGCGGACCTCACTTTGAGGAACAAAAAATTGAGGGCTTCTTAACATTAGTTTGCGGGGAGCCCACAAACCCCCTAAAATTGAATGCCCAATTAGATGTGTATGCACATTTTAATGGGAAGATGAGCCTTTGCTTTAATCATGTTTTCAAACAGTTAAGAACCCTTGTTGTAGATGTATAAATATAAAGCTAAATTCTTTCTTAATTTTTATTTAACAAAAAAAAATTTTTTTTGCTAGTCCCTTTAGAAGGGAAAAAGAGGTATCTTGACAAGACCTGAATTCTACCCTCAGTGTACGATTCTCTAGCAATGTTATCATCATCACCTAGGAACTTGTTAGAAATGCCAATCCCTGCCCCCACCCCACCCCAGACCTACAGATCAGACACCTGGGGGTGGGCCAGCCAGTGGAGGCCCAACAAATCCACAGCAGATTTGGCAGCTGGGTTCTGGCCCAAGAGCAGCATCTAGTGGCCACTCAGCTTCACCTCAACACAGGGCTGGGGATGACACTGACCCACCTCAAGCCTTCCCCAGAATCAGGACCCACTGTTATCAGACAGTACCCCCCGAATCTGCCAAACCTCCATTCTTTCTGCCCAGCTCCCCAGCTCACTTTCAGACTGGCTCCTTCTCCAGTCTCGTTCAGTGAGCAAGGATGATATGAGCAAGTGAGCTCCTGACTCATCATCCCTACAGTGAAGTCACCGTCCTTCGAGGGGCAGCTGACAGCTGAAAGCCACAGCAGAACTCAGCAGGCCCCAGAAACCTTATCAACGCTTTATATCCAGGTATTTTTCAGAGCACAGATTAGAATCACACTAATCTTTCTTTAGATGTAAATATCCCTAGAATTAAAACTGTTGGGGCATGTGTATGTTTGCACAAAAACTTATCCATTTTACAAATATAAAAGCAGAAAACACAGATGAGTAAGGGACAAGTTCCTTTAGACATAAGCCCACAAATAGCCAGGAAGTGGGTTTTCTTTCTTTCTGGAGGCCAGGAGATTTGGTACATTTCCCATTTCACAGACCAGGCTTTGCCTGCCTCCAGGATTCACTCACAACTGCGCCAGAAGACCACCTGTGACCAGGACACGGGCCACACAGGGAGATGCAGTCTCAGTTTCAGAGCAAGTTTCCTGGGGGGTCTCCCTCCTGGGGCTCCTCCCTCCCCTGGCTCCCAGGGAACTGGGGTCCTCCACTGCCCACTGCCTCTCCTGTGGCCCCCTGTTCATACCTGAAGTTCTTTCGAGTGGCTGGTGACCAGGAGTGGCAGGATGAGGAGCCAGAGCTTGAGCGGCTGCGGGAACAGAGCTGCCTGCTGGCCTTGCTTGGTGGGCTCTGGTAGGGGCAGTGGTCAGAGCAAGTGGGGCTGACTCCTGAGTCCTCTTCTTCATTGTCCTCCGCCTCCTCCTCCCTATCCTCATTTTCCTCTTCTGGGAGGAAGCTGCTCTCACCACTGCTACTGCTGCTGTCTTCAAAGACAGTGTCATACTCAGGGCTCTTGCAGGAGGCCAGGTCTTCCTCCTCCAGGGCGGTCTCCAGCAGCCCAAAGTGTTTGGTGAGGCTGGCACGGATCTCGTGGTCTCTGAGCAGCATGCTGTCCTTGGATGGGGCGCCCGCATCACAGCTTCTGTCTTCCTCCCTGCCAGCAGCCTGCGCCTCAGCCTGAGGGGTATCCTGCTGGGGCCAGTCCTCAAGGTGAACCCCAGACGGCTCCCAGGACCTCAGCACCTTCCTCTGCAGGATGCCCTCCGGTCGGAGCACCTGGCAGTAGTCATGGTCTCCAAAGGAACAGGAGAAGGGACGCTTCTGGCCAGGCTGCGAGGCTGGCTGGGCTGGGGTGTGCCGCAGGTGGGAAAGGAGCTCACTCCGCTCCGGGTGCTTCTTTGGCAGCTTGTGGGCAGCCCCTGGGGTGGCCTTGAGTGAGAGGGCCTCAGGGGAGGGGAGGTTGAGAGCTGTTTCTTTGCCCAGGCTGTGCTTGATGTCCGGCTTGAAAGGGTCCTCCTCTGTGGGCTTGTATGGTGGTGTGGTGGGCGGGGTGAGTCCTGCCCAAGGAAGAGGAGAAAGGTAAGATGAAGACAGATCACTTCTCTGAGGGACACTAAAACCCTAAGTTTAGGGCCAAGTATGGTGGCTCACACCTATAATCCCAGCATTTTGGGAGGCCGAAGTGGGTGAATCACTTGAGGTCAGGAGCTCAAGATGAGCCTGGCCAACATGGCAAATTCCTGTCTCTACTAAAAATTCCAAAAAATTAGTTAGGCATGTTTGGTGCATGCCTATAATCCCAGCTAGTTGGGAGGCTGAAACATGAGAATTGCTTGAACCCAGGAGGAGGAGGTTGCAGTGAGCCAAGATCATGCCACTGCACTCCAGCCTGGGCAACATAGCGAGACTATGTCTCAAAAAAAAGACCCTGGTTAAAAAAAATAATAATAAAATAAAATAAATAAATAAATAAATAAATAAAAAAGACCCTGGTTTGGAATGGCAAATCAATGGCCATGTGCCCTTACTCCCCCATCCCAGTGGATGGCAGGCATCACTAACTGATCATTGCACTGCTGGCTGAGGCTGGAGGTAGCCTGGGAAGCCTTGGATTTTTGGAGTTGGTATGTGATGAAATCCATTTGCCATTCCTTCTGTGACCTACTAGTGGCAGCTGGAGCCTCCAAGTCATCCAAGATATCTCTTCCTGATCTACATCCAACCATTCAACAAACCCTCCCATTTAAGGCTCTCATATGCCTCTGGCATTTCCCATGATGGACAGGGGGCAGGCACTGCAGATACAACTGCCCACCTGGGCTGGGTGCAGTGGCTCATGCCTATAATCCTGGTTCATCCCCAGTAAGTCTCCTTTATGGTACCTACTGCAATTTGTAATGATCTTCCTTTTCTGTTTGCTTTCTGACCGCCTGTAACACAAGCCCCGCAAAGGCAGACCTCTTGCGCACTGTTCATTACGTGGCAGCTTGCCATGAATGACAAAAAACTCAGAGATGCACGGGTGTTTTCCTGAAGGCACGTGCCAGTGGAAGCCCCCTGGCTCACCTGCTGTGCCACAGAGCTCCACCGTCAAGGTCTGCTCAAAGCTCTTCTTGCCAAAAGTAGGGTCGCTGGTGGAGGCAGGGAGGACAGAAAGGAAAGCAGCAAGTCAGCAGTAGTCATCCACCTCCCCGTGCGCAAAAGGGTCACAAAGAGTGCCGACGGGCCCTGGTTCCGCTGCCCATGGAAATGGAGCCTGAGGTGCATTTGCTGTGGGAACCCCCATCCTGGCGGTTAGAGGAATTCAAGCTGCACAGCTCTTTTAGGAGACATGGGCAAGGCTCACTGAAGGGTGAACAGAGGACAAGTGTTGTCAGCCTCCTTATTTTACAGAGGGAGCGACTGAGGCCCAGGAGGAGGAAGGGACTTGCTGAAAGCCACAGGGCCCTGTCAGAAAATAATTCTTTTCAGGGTCCCCAAGAGGACAGGTTGTGAAATGGCCTGAGTCCTTTCCTCTGGCCTGTAAAAGTCAGTTTCTAAAACCCAACTCCCTTCTAAAGGAGCCCAGCTCCTGAGGGTCCCAGATGACAATCAGGGCAGGGGGTGTGGGGCCAGGGCAGGGGGTGTGGGGCCAGGGCCAGGCATGGGGGCTGATGAACTCCCCCCATCACCCCCAACACATACACCCAACAAGACAAAACCTCATGGAATAATACACCAATAGTTTCTAAAAATCTACCTTTGTGACAAGGCCAGCATGAGGCACCTGGGAGAGTCTGAAAAGAAGACAAAGAGAAATAAGATTCCCCAACATGGCATCACCAGCAGATGCTTCCCCTCAGGAGGAGACCCCAGGCCTCCACTGGTGCCAAGCATAGCTGCCCTTTGGGCAGGTGACCAAACGCCTCTGCACTTTCAGGGAAGGGCAGAACAATACAAATCCACCTTCCATCCCAGGTCTCAGCTGGGGGATCTACTTGATTTTGCAGAAAGTACAAACGGGTGCAAGGGTGACCCCTTCTGGTACATGCAGCACTCCACTGCTGTGGGCTCCGGGTACAGACTGCCCTGCATAGGGCTCATCACTAAGTAGCTCTGTGCCTGAGTTTCTGCATCAAAACATGGAGACAATGACAGTACCTACCAGAGAGGCTTCTTGTGAGGACTCAATAGGGACAATCTGTGTTAATCTGAGACCAGTGCCAGCACGGTAAGTAAGCAATGGATAACTGTTAGTTATCATTACTGCTCTTAGCAGTGTTTAAGACTCTAGCTGCATTGTGGAGCTGAATTTATAGACTCATGCTTCTGTCACATTATCCCCAGTGAGTCTTCTTTACGGTACCTACTGCAATTTGGAATTATCTTCCTTTTCTGCTTACTTTGGACTGCCTGCTTAATTTGTTAAGTGGCACCTGGCCCATGCATGATGAAAACTCACAGCTGCATGGATGTTCTTCTGAAGATCCGCTCCAACTAGCCAAAGAAAAGCTGAAAGCCAGAGGGGAAGGGACTTGTCCAACCCCACAGAACACAGGGCTCCTGGCTCCCAGTGCAGAAGGGGCATGCTGCACCCCATCCCTGCCCCCTCCTTGCAGACCACCAACTCTGACTACCTCTGGGAGGGAGCGGCGGGCAGCTGGGGTCCTCATCCGTGTCCCCACACCCACTCTCACAGGGGCTCTCCAGGGCAGGGATCTGGGGTCCCCGTAGGAGATGCTGGTCTTGGCCACTGTCCTCATCCGTGGGGCTGCCCAGCTCCCGCTCTATGTCATAGGCCTTGGGAGCCAGGCGCAGCGAGGGCAGAGCACCCTGGGGCTCCGTGGGGGCCAGTGGCTCATCAGCAAATGTCAGCCAGGGGCCCAGCTCAGGGTTCAGTCTCCGAGAACGCCGCACGGGGCACACGGAGCTCTCTGGCTTCCTCCCCAGCTTCGTCCATGGCAGGCCTCGGCCTGGTCTTTTCCTGCCCCACTCCTCCTCTTCCTCCTCCTCTTTTTCTTCTTCCTCTTCCTCCTCCTCTTCTTCCTCGTCTTCCTCCTCCTCCGGCTGTAGCCTGCTAGGCCGGTGGACCTCCCCTTTCACCTCCAGCCGCAGTGGGCGCAGGCTTGGTCTGGGCCCAGTGCTCTTGGGTGAAGCTGCAATCCTCACCTCCTCCACTGAGGATGGGTGACCAGGGGAGGCCTGGCTGTCTTTGGGGGACCTGGGCCTTGACCGAGGTGTGAGGGAGGCATAGACAGGCGTGGCCAGACGGTAGGGTTTGCTGACATCACAGAGCACGTCTTGAGCCAGAAGTTCCCTCAAAATGGAGAACTCAGCCCAGGAGGCTTTGGAGGGGTGCCGGGGCCGGGATCTGACCTGCTGGGAGGGGTTGCTGCAGGGCTTGGGGGCTGGCTCAGGGGCCTGTGGGGGCAGCTTCCTTTGAGGGAGGCAGTAGGTGTGCATGTAGCGAATGAGTTGCACCATCGCCTGCATGTCTTCCTGGGAAAACTGGGCACCGGGGTCTGCCCTGCCCGGCACTAGGGAGTCCCGGGGAGAGGCTGGAGCTGGCTGGGGGCTCGGGCAGTCCTCACCCGGCTCCTCATCCTCCTTGGCAGGGAGCCGGGGACTCTGGAGGCGTAGTGGCTGCAGACCTCTATCTTGCAGGCAGGACGGCGCCGAGGTGAGGTGCTTATGCAGTTCTGTGCAACTCCGGCTCTGAGACTGCGTGGCGAGAGCCTTCTTGTCTTGGGTGCTGTCCACCTAGAGGGAGAGAGGCCAGAGTGAGGAAGGGGGCCCAAACACTCCTGCATGCCTCAGCCGCATGGCCACTGGCCAGCACAGTATGTCTCACCTGGATCATGGGAACAGCCAAGTTTCCTTCATTCCGTCCCTAGCCTCCCACACAGAGCTGGGCACCTGGCCACGCTCAGTGGATGAGGAATGACCAGCCTCCTAACAGCTCTGAGTCATGGAATTTCACCCTTCCGCATCCTTCCAGATTCACTGACAAAGCCCCACTCTGACCATTGCACCCCACTGCTCCATATCCTTCAACCAAAAGCCAGGCAGTAGATTCATGGTAGCCTGGGGCTGCAGGAAGGACTCCTGCAAATGAGCACTGGGGAATTCTTCTGGGATGATGGAGTTTTTTTGTTTTTGTTTTTGAGACAGAATCTCACTCTGCGCCTAGGCTGGAGTAAAATGGTGCGATGTTGGCTCACTGCAACCTCCACTTCCCAGGTTTAAGTGATTCTCCTGCCTCAGCCTCCCGAGTAGCTGGGATTACAGGCATGTGCCACCACACCCAAGTAATTTTCTGCATTTTTTAGGAAAGACAGGGTTTCACCATGTTGGCCAGGCCAGTCTGGAACTCCTGAGCTCAAGTAATCCACTCGCCTCAGCCTCCCAAAGTGCTAGGATTACAGGCATAAGCTACTGTGCCTGGCCTGAATGATAGATATGTTCTAAAGCTGGATAATGGTCCTAACTGCATGGCTGTTAAGTTTACTAAAAATTATAGAATTGTATTTTACAATAGGTGGCTTTTATGTATGTAAATTGCACCTCAATGAAGTCTAAAAAAACAAAAAGTCGGTAGCTCCTAGTGCCCACAGGATAAAGGGGAGGCTCCCTGGCTGGGGATATGAGGTCCTTTACACTCACACCAGCCAGTCTCTCTCCAGTCTTATTCGTCCCACTTGTCCACAGCGGGGCTTTCCTGCCAGTGGGACTCATCATTTTGCTGGGACTTTCTAGCAATGGCTGTAGGATGTGTCTTACCTCTCTGGGGAGCTTCCTAGGCTCCCAGAGGGCAAAGGGCTGGCTCACAATGGGGCTTGGCTGCTGCCCCCTCAACAGAGTGAGGCACGAGAGGGTGGACCTTTGTTTTGGGGGGGTCAGCCAGGACAAATAGGGAGGGAGCATAGGGACTCATCCCCCAGAGGAGCCCCGGCAAGGGAGAGGCTATCTGAGAGGAAGCTGCTATCTGAGAGGAAGCTGATTCTGCCTCTGAGGATGTAGGATTACATGCAACAGTCCCCAAGAGGAGGGTGCAGGACCCAGGAGAGGAAGGGTCGTGTGTAGCCTTTGGGGGACAGGACCCCTTGGAAACCACCCATTACACCTCTCTTTGTTAGAGCTGGAAGATGAGGCTTAAAGAGGAAAAGGGGTGTTCTTTGACCCTGGATGTCCATGACAGAGCCTTAAACTCTCCAATGGCTCCCTGAGGTGGGGAAAAAAATCCCAACTATTTACTGTGGCCTCTGCAGCCAGGCTGTCCTGTGTTTTGGTCTGTCACACCATTAGAACACAATCCTCCAGAGGCTGGCCATGCTTTCCTCATCCTGGCTCTGACCTGCATTAACACCTACCAGTGTCTGCAACACTGAAGTGTGAGAAAGTCCAGGGCTCCTTCTGGAACCCCAAACTGGGCTGGATCTCCAGAAGCAGTGCCCAGGACACCAGCTACAAGGACTGTGGGATGAGTGGGAAGAGATATTGGTAGTTGACTGAACTTGCTATTCTCCACTAGAGCTGGAGGCTACGGGCCCAGCAGGCACCTGGGGCAGATTTGGGGGCATGTGAAGAAATACCTTGACACAAGGCCGTTGACTTTTAGATCTGAGGCCTGCCTGGCGCCAGGCGGTCCCTTCCTTCTGGGTGTCAGAGCTTGATGTTGGGTAGGATGTGGCCAGGAGGAGCTTCTGTAGCTGAGGGAAAAGCAGAGAGGACAGGAGCCGGGGCTGAGCCATAGCCAGAGGACGTGGACTGCATGGCCAGCCCCTCAGGACTGACTTTGGGCATCACAGGGCCACAGGGAGAACACAGGGTGGGCATTCCATGACCTGGGATGATGGTCCCAAGATACTAGGTGCAGATGGCAGACTGTCTAACAATCCCGAACACACATAAGCATCCCAATAACATACAAATCCTTTTCAGAGTTAATAACCTCTGAGAATAGCTATAACTTTGAAAAACTCAAGCAGGTCCTGGGTAATGTCTGTCCATTTTACTGGTAAAATACTATTATACAGTTTCATTGGGACATTCTGTGCACATGTACACACACACACACCCACACATACACTCTGGAAGGTTAGGTACCAAAATGATTCTCTTTGTAGGATTCTAGCTGGCTCCCTTTTTGTTCTTTTTATTTATTCATATTACCTTTAAAAATTGGTTTCTTAAATTAAACAAGGTAATACTTGTAAATGGTTTTTAAAAATAGACACATCACAAATACTAAGGGGCAGACAATTAAAAGCAAGTCTCTCTCTTGCTCAAAGTCTCTTTCTCCCTCCTAGAGGCAACTCCACTAACTGCTTTCTGGTGAATCCATCATGGGGTGGGCTTTGATTGTACAAGAATATATATGTAGCTATTACCTCTAACCCACCCTGTTTTGTTTTGTTTTGAGACACAGTCTCTGTCACCCAGGCTGGAGATCATTCAGTGGCATGATCTCAGCTCACTGCAACCTCCACCTCCCAGGTTCAAGCAATTCTCCTGCTTCAGCCTCCCGAGTAGCTGGGATTACAGGAGTGCACCACCATACTCAACCAATTTTTGTATTTTGAGTAGCGACGGGGTTTCACCATGTTGTTCAGGCTGGTCTCAAACTCCTGACCTCAAGTGATCTGCCCGCCTCAGCCCCCAAAGTGCTGGGATTGCGGGCGTGAGCCACCGCACCCGGCGCTACCCTGTTGTTTTTACACAAGTGGAAGACTACACTTAAGCTTGTTTGACTTTTTCTTTTTCCAACTAACTTTTTTCTAAACAAATTGTAAAAGCTCTTCTGCTTCTGCACCCTGAGGGCAGGTACACAGTGTATCTAAGCTTAGAGAGTAGGAAGTTGAATGCTTCTGGATTTTCCACTGGAGATCCTAGCCAAGCTTGAGAACAAACTGAGAACCATCATGAGACTTTAGTACAGCACGGAGAATTTCCATGGGGAACGTGCCACCCGAAGTCACTCCAGCAAGGAATGCCAGAAGCCCAGGAGCCAGAGAAAAGGCCACGCCACACTCGAGGAGGCACAGGATCCTGGCCGCTCCACCTACACTCCAAACAAGCACTGACATGTTTCTGACTTTTTCGATAGGAAAGGATCCAAGACTGGAGGAAAGAGACCTCATTCTAGCCAGGCACTGTGAGAGCCTTGATTCCTCCATTGGTATAATGAGCGGGGGCAGGTAGACCACATGACTGGATTGAAACCTTTTTTTTTTTTGACTCTAAAGATGACACAAGTTGCTGACCTCAGAAAATCATACAAACACACAGAGGTCCACGGGTCCTTTTAAGTCCATTGGTGGACTCTCTGGGATCCATGGCCCAACCTGGGGGGTCCAGATGACTTCTCAGGGATTTTTTTTTTTTTTTTTTTTTTTTGAGATGGAGTCTTGCTCTGTCACTCAGGCTAGTGTGCAGTGGCATGATCTCGGCTCACTGCAACCTCCACCTCCAGGGTTCAAATGATTCTCCTGCCTCAGCCTCCTGAGTAGCTGGGATTACAGGCACCCACCACTGTGCCTAGCTAATTTTTGTATTTTTAGTAGAGATGGGGTTTCGCTATCTTGGACAGGCTGGTCTTGAACTCCTGACCTGGTGATCCACCCACCTCAGCCTCCCAAAGTGCTGGGATTATGGGCATGAGCCACTGCGTCCGGCCCTCAGGACCTTGTTTTGTTTTGAGATGGAGTTTCTCTCCTGTTGCCCAGGCTGGAGTGCAATGGCGCAATCTCAGCTCACTGCAAACTCCGCCTTCCGGGTTCAAGTGATGCTCCTGCGTCAGCCTCCCATTTCTGTTTTTTAAAGAGATGGGGTCTTGCTCTGTCACTCAGGCTTGAATAGTGTCATAATCCCAGCTCACTGCAGCCTCACACTCCTGAGTTTAGGCAATCCTCCTACCGCAGCCTCCAGAGTAGCAGGGACTACAGACATGCACCACCATACCGTGCTCATTTTAAAACAATTTTTGTAGAGATGGATCTTGCTATGTTTCCCAGGCTGGTCTCAAACTCCTGGCTTCAAGGGATCCTCCCACTCAGCCTCCCAAAGTGTTGGGAATACAGGTATGAGCCACTGTGCCCAGCCCCTCAGGGCCTTTCTAGGTCTCGTCGGTATGCAGAGAGTCTGTCTCCTGGGTGCCTTGCACAATGCCTGAAACAGAGGCACTCAGTAAGCATGTGGGGAATGAAGGCCATCTAAGGCATGGGAGGAAAACAACCTTTGACCAGCAGGGGTCGCGCTTTGCCTCTTTAAGTTGGGTCCCTCACCAAAGGCCCTGTGCAGAAATAGCACTCCAATGCTTGTTACTACTAATGGCTGTACCAGAAGTATTACTTAGTTCACATTTACCGAGCAACTCTATGTGCCAGGCACTGTTCTAAGTGCTTTATGTGTATCATCTGCCGTATTCCTCTTAATAGCCTTTGACATAGGCACTATGATTAACCCCACTTTATAGATCAGACAGGTGAGTCTTAGACAGGTTCAGCATGTGTGCCTAATGGACATACAAGTACTAAATGGCAAGACTGGGATTCGACCCTAGGCACTTTGATTCTAGTCTGAAAGGAAGCAGGACCCCCTCTCAGCAGAAGCTATAATGTGGGACTGAACATATTCTGTGCCCAGCATGGTGGGTGCTTCACGCTGCTTTGGGGAAGTTGATGCAGTGGGAGGGAAGGAAAAGTGTCCTGGACTAGGAGTGAATACCTGAGTTCTAGTCTTTGCTGGCACACTTGCTGTGTGACCAGTGGAGATACCCTACCCACTCTGGGCCACAGTTTTCTCAAAGTTGGGCTTGAGGGTCACCAAGGGCCTTTTTAGCTCAAACTCCCCATGAACTTAGAGCCCTCCAAGCTCCAACAGGCTCTGATTTTCTTTTCTTTTTTTTAAGTTTTTCTGAGACGGAGTCTCACTCTGTCGCCCAGGCTAGAGTGCAGTGGTACGAACTCAGCTCACTGCAACCTACGCCTCCTGGGTTCAAGCGATTCTCTTGCCTCAGCCTCCCGAGTATTACAGGCACCCGCCACCCTGCCTGGCTAATTTTTTTTTTGTATCTTTAGTAGAGACAGAGTTTCAACATGTTGGCCAGGCTGGCTTGAACTCCTGACCTCGTGATCCACTTACCTGCACCTTGAAAAGTGCTGGGATTACAGGCATGCGACACCACACCCACCCTGGATTTTGATTTTCTAGCTGAGTCCTGCCAGTCTCCAGGAGCCACAGAACCAAAGGGAGGAGCCCAAGACAGGCTGAGCAAAGCTGGACTTCTCACTCCAGGACAGCTCGGCTTTGGGTGCTCTCAGCCTGGATTGAGAGTGACTACTTCCAGTAACTTCTGAGTTGCAGACTCCTTTGAAAATCTGATAAAAGCTGCGATCTTCTCCCTAGAAAGCTGCTATTCCATGTGCACATTTCCACATTCCACACACACCTGCACAGCATTTAACTTCTGCTGGTGGAAGTGAAAACCAGTCCAACCTCTTTGGAGGGCAATCTGGAAGTATCTGCTTAAACTGGAAAATCACAGATCCACAGACCCAGGAATTTCATTTCTGAGAATTTGTCCACTTACATGTCACAAAGGCTTGTATAAGAACAGTTACTGCACCACTGCTTGTAACGAGGAACGAGTTGAAACAACATAAATTCCTAACGGGGGAACCACTCCATCCCTACCAAGGGACATTACACTGCCAACAAAAAGAATGAAACAGAGCTCTACATGCTCATCTGGAAGAGCTTCCAAGACACACAGTTAACTATGAACACCAGGTGCAGAGCCATGTCTAATGTAGACACCCTTCTGTAGCAAAATCTTTTAAAGGTAGAAGAGGAAAGTCACGTAACAGATCAGTAACCGTGGTTACCTCTGGGACAAGAAAAAGCAACAGAGAGAGGGCTAAGGAAGTTTTGCTTTTAACTGTCCACTTTTACTATCTGGATTTTTATCATGTGTGCAATCTTCAGGAAAATGTTTTGCATATAATTTCAAGAATCTAACACATAACTAGGTCAATCCCTAAAATACCAAAAAGTGTACAGAATGCAGGTGAGGCCTCTGTCGTTAGTTCCTCTGTCTAGGTGAGAAAGGTTAAGCCCAGAGGGTCTCCCACCTTCAGCCCAGGCTCTCTGCTGTGATCCATATTGCCGGTGATGCATGGGGTCCCCTGCAGGGCTGGAGTGGATTGCTCTGCACCCCATGCTCTGACAACCAGACACCTAATCCCAGGCTGCAACCATCACTTCTGCTGGAAATAGGTTCTCACCAGTGAGAGCTCGTCCACCTCAGGGGCTGGGGCCATGGGCTTCTCCGGGGCAGGGCTAGGGGGCACAGACGATGGGGCAGGCGAAACTGAGGTGCATGATAGAGCATCTCCACCATCCAGGGCTGAGAAGGCAGCCAGACCCACGTCATCTTCAGGGATGTCATCCAGGGTCTTGGTGAGCTCTGCCAGGAGGGCCTCATTCTCACTGTCAATCTGGAGTGAGGAGGGTGGAAGGACCAGAAAGGCAGATGGGGAGATGGTTAGTCACCACTTTGGACTCAGCCTCCACGGTGGACACCAGTTCTGCCCAGCCAGCTAGGCCACCATCACCCTCCTGCCATACCCTCCCCTCTGCCCTCCCCCCCATCAGAGCTGCTCAGTATTCCTGGCATAGCAGATGCCCAATAAATGTGTTATTGACTCTAAGAATCCCAGAATTTTATGAGCAGGCAGGAGGTGATAATGGAAAGAGCCCTGCCTGGGAGTTCCAGTCTTCGCTCTGCTGCTTATCAGTGTGTGACCTGGGCACAGGACTGCCCACCTGAGTGGTGCCTGCCTCCCCCATCAAGGACAGAGGCTGGCCTACCACACTGGTAGGAGCAACCCACTGCAGCCCCTCGGACCCTGGGGTCCAGGAAGTGTGAAGGCTGGAAGCTCTAGGGTTCAACCATGACAATAATAACCACAGCAGTGATGAGGCAGCTATCACTTCTCTGTGGATTCCCAGAGTTTACTCTCCTCATTCACTCATGGGGAGGTAGCAAGTATGGTGATTAGACACTCGGGCTCTGGAGCTGGGGCTGGACCACAGATTCCACACTTACCAACTGTGGGTCCTTAGGCACGTTAGTTTCTCATCTATCAAGTGGGATAACACACAGCACATATTTCCTAAGGTTATTGCTGAGGACTAGAGGAGTTAACATAGGTAAGATGCTTAGAAAACGGTGCCTGGCACCAAATAATCACTTGCTACTGTGATGACCATGAGTGACTACTACCACTACCACTGCTCGTGCTGCTACTGCTACACGATTCCTGCCATGATGATGACAATGATGATGGTGGTGGTGGTGGTGGCAGTAATTGCCCCCTGCACTCTTTGCTCCCTTCCTTCCTTCCTTCCCCTGCCTCGTGGCTATGCTGTGCCTGGCTTCATGCTGGACGCTGGTGATAAGCAGCACATGTATTCTGACATGCCCCGCCCCCATGGAGCTTACCCTACAGTGGAGGATGCGGCGAAACTAACAAACAAACAAGATCATTTCGGAGCGTGAGAAAGGCTAGGAAGAAAATAAAAGGAAGCCATGATGGAGAAAAAGAATGTGGTGAGGACTTACAGGCTATTGAGGGTGGTCCCAGATGTCTTCTCTGGGAAGCTGATACTTAAAGGTAGTCTTGAAAGATACCAGGCAGGTAAAGCATTAAGGAGGGGAGACTCAGGAAGAGGGAAACCCCAATCAAAGGCCAGGTGCACAGCGCTTGGCTGAAGAGAGGAGTAGAAAGGCTCTGACAGGCTCAGGGAGACCTCACAGCAAACCCGCCCAGGGGCGCACGATTCTGATCTCCATTTTGCAGTTGAGGACACAGAGGCTCCTGGAAGCTCAATTTGTCAGGGTCACATAGCAAATAAAGTCCAGAGCCAGGACTTGGACAGCAAGAGTGCCCCATGCACAGATGAACCATACAGAGGGTCAGCGTTCACACCCGCAGCCCACAGGTCCCCACGCCCAGAGGCCTGGCACGGAGAGCATGTGGCTTCTAGGTGAGGCACTGAGTGCCTCATTTAGTAAGGCCTGGTCCCCAGGCTGTTGTGGCAGAAGGCACATTCTGTCACATGAGGCCTCCTCCAGCACTCTTTCCCATCCCAGGTCAGGCTGTTTATCCTTTCTTCAGGAAGTTCATCTGAAATACACATCTCGTGACGGCCTTTTGGCTGCACTAAATCTGTTCCAGGCCTTACAGCCGAAGCAGCAGCTGAGTAGTTCGAAGGGGGGACACAGGGAGAGAACAAACACATTTGTAATTTTTAGAACAGAGCTAAGAATAAAAGAAAGGTCAAAAGAAGATTTTTGGTTGGGCCTGACTCAGGCCCTGGGGACGGAGGTCAGAGGGTAGATCAGGGCCCAAGGACTCTGGCTTTAGAATGCAGGGGGGGCTCATTGGCTGCCCCACCCTCTACCCACAAGTCAACTTCAACCCTCAGGCCAGACTCCCAACCCTGTGTTCTCAGAACCAGCCTGATGGGGAGTTAAGATCCTGGAATTTGGGACTCAATGACCATTCTTGGGGTTCTGACATCAAAACAGTGATCTTAGGCAAGTCATTTCCCTCCTCTATGCCTTGCTCCTTTTCCTGTGAAATGGGAAGGCATGATCCCTGGCCAGCCTCCCTCCCTGGGCTCCCAGAAGGCCAACTCTGGAAGCAGTAATGAGAGTACTTTGCAGAGTACTCAGGTCCCTAAACTCAGTGTCTGGGACATGGGAGGCACCACGGCAAATTTACTGAATCAAAGAATAAATGAACCAAACAGTGAACAATGGCGGGAGACTGAGTTCAGTGTCTCGAAGACCAGATTCTAGAGGGAAGTGATTCAGGGATGACATCATCAGCACTGCATGAACTGAGAATTCGCACTCTTTCCCAGGGAGAGTACCAAGGGCCCAGAGATATTGTGAATTATCACAAATATCAGCACTGTAAGGGCTCTCAGGAAATCACGTAGTGAAGAGAGATTTCAAACCCATGGTGCAATGCTACTGCTCCCCTGTATTGCTAACTGCTGATTCCTTCCATGCCAGCATTTTTCCTAATGCAGGGCTTCAGCTGGCATTCACAAAGAAACTTATCTGCCATTATTTTTGGGGGTGGTGGTGGCAGGGGAGGAATAAAGTAAGCCCCAGGAAAGAGACTTTTCAAGGTAACATAGTGAATCAGGGGTAAGACTAAGGACTAGAACCCAGGACTTAAGAGAGCCAACACTGACTTAGTGCCAGCCATGGTGCTGAAATGAGTCCAAAATGGCAAGAACCTCAAGAAGTACCCATCAAGTTGGGTAAAAGCAAAAAGTCTCCCCTTTTCGCCACCCGTCCCCACCTCACCCCTCTGAAATAGCCAGGTGGGACTGGAGGCCCTGAGCCGGGCTGGGAGAAGCGGCCATCCTTGCCTACGCTGGCCACTGCTTCCTCCAGCCATCCAATCCAGGGAGCTGTGCCACCCCTCTCCTCTTCCCCAGGCCCATTAGCTTGGCTCTCCCTGCTCAGCATAGAAACAGAGTGCAAATTAATGGAGAGTTAATCAGCTGAGGAAGGGATATTAATAGACTCAGCCCCACCCCCAGTCTTCCTGAGCTGATCTCAAGCAGGAGGAAAAGGAGCCTTCAAGAAATCTGAGGGAAAAGGCTTCATTCTGAGGACCTAGAGTGGCCTGAAGAAATGTCACAGTACAGAATGTAGGCTACCAGGGCAGAAAGAATATTCAGAGATCTCTACTATCCAAGGGGGCTTAAATTGAGGTTCAAGAAACCCAGGAAATTGGCCATCCCCCTTCCATTTTTCTGGAAGTAGGTCCAGACCCAGTGACTCTCCTCCTGCAGCCTCAACAGATTGACTTGTCCGTGTTCCTTCCTCACTCTTCACATGGGGAAACTGAGGCCCAACCAAAGGGAGCTACTCACCCAAGGACACAAGGCCACATGGCAAATTGTTGCAAAACAACCAAACACTTGCCTTATTCTAGCAGTTTCTACTAAGGGCCTGTCATGCCCCAGCCTCAAGGACTCTGGGACACACAGAGAAATGGAAGGCAACGTCCCTGTCCCTGAGGAGGTGTCAACCCTTGCAGAGTAGCTTGCTCTCTACTCTCCCAGTTTGTTCCCATAACAGTGGTGCCAGAGCTTGGCACCAGCAGCAAGGTTCCGTGATTCCCATTGGTTCCATGAAGAAACTGTCCAAGTCAGTGCCAGAAGGAGGACTAGAACCTATGGCTCCTAGATCCCAGCTCAAGGTTTTTGGAATGGGTCAGTTCAATCAGTTCCTTCATTCAACACCTATGAATTGAGTCTTTACAATGTGCAAGGGCCCCAGAGATGAATAAAGCACTGTTTGTCCCCAAAGACCTTGCAGTCTGAAGGACACACATGAGTGCATGAGATGGGAGCCCATGAGAGGGACTGAGTGACCAATTGCCTTAGGAGGAGGCAACATGGAGCTCAGTGTCGAAGGATGTATTCAGTGGATAACTATTAAGCCCTGATAAAGTGCCAGGCACTGTGCAGCGCCCTGGGAATATAATGCACAATGCAGACACAACCCACATTCAGGCTGCAGTCACATGCACAGAGGGTGCATCGGTGAGCAATGGATAGAGCCAGCCTAGTGTGCAGCCCTAGGCTGAGAAGAGAAAAGAAAGAGGCTGAGAAGGCAGAGCTTGGTGAGCTGTGAGGACTGTCTTCCTTGAAGGGCTGGGGCCACACCAAGCTTACTTGTGTCTGACAGCATTAGCAGGACCTCATCAGAAGCTTGCTAGTGGGTCTGGCCATTCTCTGAGTAGGTTGGGGGCCTATACAGTCTGGGGTGGGGATGGTCTCCAGGGAGCATCCAAACCCCTTTTATTCACGAGCTCTCTGCAACCTAAAAGCATTTTCTGGAAGCTGGCCCCTAAGAGGAAAGGTGCAATATAGCAAAGGAATTATCCCCATTGTTCAGGCAAGAAAATGGAGGTCTCTGGTTGGAGCCAGAACTACAGTTTGGTCCTGCTAATTCCTCACAGGGCTGGCAAAGGGATTCAGTGTAGTGGTGAGGGGTATAGGTTCCTAGATTCCAGTCTTTGCCTGGATCCTTACTAGCTGTGTGACCCTGGATGAGTTACTCAACCTTCCTGAGCTTCCTTTCCCTTGTCCATAAAACTGATTATTAGGAGCACACAGCGTATAGCTTATCTTCCTCAGAGAGGCCTTTCCCAACCACTCAGTCCACAGTCCCTTCTCTAGTTCCTTTTTGCCTTACCACAAGTGACTACTGTTTGTTCACATGTTTGCAGACTGTAAAGTCCTCCGATGAACACAGTGCCTGACACGTAGGGGGCTCGACAAATCTTTCTAGAAGGATGATCAAATCCCTTGGAAAGGACGCTCGTGGCACACCATGTTGGTGTTCGGCACACACTGTTTCCATCGTTATTATTATTATATTGCCAGATACACACAGGGAGCTCTGGCTTCTGCCCCCAATCTTTATGAGGGAGAAAATTCCAAGAAAAGAATCGTGAATCTGAATGTGTCCATTACCCAGCTAAACACAGCCAATCTAATTTCATCTATTACCCTCTAGGCCGCACACTCCCACCCACACATGCAAATCCATGCAGAGCTTGCTTTCTTCTGAAGCAAACCCCACACATCATATTATTCTGTAAGAGGCCTTCTTACAGGAAATGCCAGCCATTACACGCCCCTGAGGCTGGGTGCTAGAGCACACAGGGCTGGGAGAGGCACATGCATAGTGGTTCTTGGCACTGCCTCTTATTAAAGAACCTCTAGGCTCCAACTGAAAAAGGGAGATAATTGTATTTACAACTGAGAGTTGTTAAGACATTTAAATGAATTAATATACACAAGCAGGGACAGCCCTCCCACAGAACAGTTGCTCAATAAATGCCAGTCATCTCATTATGGTTTCATCATGGTCATAAAGTCCTGGCTCTGGAGGCAAGAAGACTGGGTTTGAATCCAGTTCAGCTACTGACTAGGTTAACTGCCCTAAGCACGTGACTTAACTTTCTAAGCCTCATTTTCCTTATCTGTAAAATGGGAAAATACTGTAACCTGTCTTGCAGGGTGGGGAGGAGGATTTGATAAGATAATGTAGGGAACAGAGGACTTGGACCCCTGTGGCACACAAAGGGGCTTGGTTCTGCCCAGCAGGCCTATAGAGCAGTGCATCTCACCCTCACTTTCCAGAGTCGATACAGCAAGGGCCAGGTGAAGCATGTGAGCTGCGCCAAATCAGGGGCTGATCCAGCACAAGAAATCGGGGCCCAACAGCTTTGGTGGGTGAGGGGACTTCTCTGCATGAGCAAGTACAAGAGAAAGCGGAGCAGGGCACAGCTGGGATTTTGAGGGCAGAGAGGCTGGCAGCGTGGAAAGAGGGGAGACTGGAGAGGGCATACCTGGAAGAGCTCGGAGTCATCGGGGCTGTACTGGTTGGGTTCAGTCTCTGAGTTCTCTGGGCACCACTGCAGCTCCCCAAAGCAGGTGGCCGAGTCAAAGTCGCTGGCATCCAGCTGGGAGAGGTCGAGTTCTGGAAAGTCAGCATAGAGTTGCTCCTCCCCGGACCCTCCACCCTGAGACAGGAAGGAAAGAAGTGGATCAGAGCTGAGGCTGGCAGGACCCAAGCAGGGGCTCTCTCACTCATGGATGCAGCCAATCTGGACCTGTGGCCAAGGCCAGATTTTGCCAAATGATCAAGAATGGAAAGATCAGCTCCACCCCTTGCAATGGTTGAATCTTCTGGTAGCTAAGCTAGGCCCCAAAGTACAAACCCCACTGCCGCTCTCTCCTCTGCACTCCTACACATCCCTCAAGGCCCTGCCCACATACATCTCTGTCCTCTTACCAGAATTGTTTTGTTGAAAACTTTATTAGAGCCTGTAAATAGAGGAGCTACTCCTTTACATATATGTCCCCACTTATAACTGGACTTCTTGAAGCTAACAATTCCTCTATATTAATAATGAAACAATAGCAATAATGACTGACACTATTGTGTGATTACTAGGTTCTAGAGAAGCACTCAACCATGTTCCCAGGGATTTTACGGGAATATATGTAATGTCAAAAATTACATATATGATGGAACAGCACCAATCGGTAGACAGTATGTACATAAAGCCATAAAACACCTTATCACGAGTCGGTGATGGTGGCTCACGCCTGTAATCCCAACACTTTGGGAGGCTGAGGTGGGCAGATCATTTGAGGCCAGGAGTTCAAGTCCAGCCTGGCCAATGTGGCGAAATTAGCATTACTAAAAATACACAAATTAGCATGGTGCACACCTGTAATCCCAGTTACTTGGAAGATTGAGTCATGAGAATCACTTGAGCTCAGGAGGTGGCGGTTGCAGTGAGCGGAGATCATGTCATTACACTCCAGCCTGGGTGACAGATGGAAACTATCTCAAAAAAAAAAAAAAAAACACCCCCAAAACACACCCGTATCATGAACTACTACAGTGCTGTTGAAAAGAATGAGGAAGATCTATGTGTTCCCCAAGACACATTAAATAAAAAACAAAGTTGTAGAATATCAGCATGTAGAATATAACCCCACATGTGTAAAGAAAATAAAAATCAAGCTACACATTTCTTTATATAGGATAGCATGTATTCAGACACACAGGAAAAGATCTAGAAGGTCATAAACCCACCTAACAGCAGTGGGTGGGGAAGAAGGGAGTCGCAGGTGACTCTGATAACAGCATTGCCTGAATCAGTGGTTCTCAAAGTGTAGTCCCCAGATGGGCAGCACCAGAATCACCTGGAAACCTGGTATGTTGGAAATAATATAAATTCTAAGGCCTAATCCCAGAGCTACTGAATCAGAAGGCAATCAATTTCTCACCCTGGTCTCTCAAGTTTAACAGTTACCAAGACAAGAGCTGCCCTACAGATTCAGAAATAGCCTGAACTGGGGGGCTGACACAGAAACAGAACAGCTTGGTAACGTTCTGTTGGCCCTGGGGCCTGGCAGAACTGAGTTGAGATCCCCACTCACCAGCCGTGGACTTTGGGGACGTCCCTTCATCTGTAAAATGTGGACAACAGCAATGTCTGCTTTATATGTTAAGATTAAAGGAGGCAACGTCGTCACAGCCTGTCCTAGTAACTGCTCAATAAATGTCAGCTAAGAATAATACAACAAATAATAATAATAAAACAGTGGTGTTTCATGGCAGGCAGACAGTAGCAGGAACTGTCTCGAAGAACAAAAAGAGGCATATGTGACACTTAAGAGAAACAGGTTTTCCCCAGACCTTTTCCTTAATTGTTCCCACTTACTAGGCCTCATAAATTATGAATAAATGTATATTATTAGCTCAACTTGACACAGGAAAAAGGCTTTTAGCCAAATTTGGGTCAAATGTCTTAATTGGTGTTTTGCAAGAATCCTGCCTACACAGGCGGCACCGGGCCCAGGTCCTCTCGAGCTGTCGGTTCCCTGCTCTCAGGCAGGCAGCAAGGTTCCCAGCAAGTCTGTCTCCGGGAACACGGCCCCAACACCCTGCCCACCACCTGCCCATTCTTTCTCCAATCCACATGTATTCCACAATCCTCAATATTGACAGCCCAGTCACGCTGAGCCAGGCGCTGTGATGGTGAGTGGAGAAGGATGACATTAAACAAATAATCACACAAACAAAACATGTGATTCTACATCGTGACTCTCCAGAGAAGAGCAGAATGCTTCTGAACCTGATTGGGAATCTGAAGATGAGAGAAATACAGGGGCTTCCTCAATCTCTGGGTCCCCCAGGTACCTTCCTCCCCACAAGCCCAATCACCAGTACTCAGTGGCTGCCCCTGCTTCGGGAACTCAGGTGGATTCTCTCAGCTGCCTCTTAGAGATTTCTTTCTCCATCCAAGCAGACCGTGGGGATGCAGCCATGGTCCTGTTCTACATGATAACTGGTTTGTTTCCTGTTTTGGGCCATTTCTTATAAGTCTGCAATACTTGCATACAAGTCTTGTTTGGACATATGTCTTTACTTCTTTTGGGTAAATATCTAGGAATGAAACTGTTGGGTCATATGGTAAGTGTGTATATAAGTTTATACACACAAAAAATTGTTTTCCACAGTGAGAGAGTATGCACTTGGTACACTCCCATCAGCTGTAGGAGTTCAATTCTTCTGCGCCCTTTCCAACACTTGGTATTGTCAGTCATTTTATTTTAGCCATTCTAGTGGGAATGTTCAATGCCACTATGAGCCAGGCACTGTGATAGATAAGACTCAGCTCCTTCCTCCGCGAGTTGACATCTTAGTGGTGGAAGAAAACACATAAATATTTCATTCTAGACTGAGTTAGTGCTATGAAGGAGAAAATAAACAAGGTGCACTGATGGAAGCTAACAGGAAGCAAAATCTTTTTACTTTTTTTTTAATTTTCAGAGACAGGCTCCTGCTGCTCTGTTGCCCAAGCTAGAAGACAACACTGCAGCCTCAACTTCCTAAACTCAAGCAATCCTCCCACCTCAGCCTTCTGAGTAGCTGGGACTACAGGCATGCACCACCATACTCAGCTAAGTTTTCTTTACAATTTTTTGTGGGGACAGGGTTCTCGCTACGTAGCCCAGGCTTGTCTCATTCCACCTCAGTCCCACAAAGTGCTGGGATTACAGGTGTCAGCCACTGTGCCCAGCCCAGAATCTAAATTAGATGGAATGTCAGGAAAAACTTCTTAAGGAGAAGCCAGGCAGTGGAAGAGGTGAGAAGAGCATTGCAGGCAGAGGGACCGTCAGAGGCAAAGACCCCAGTGGGCACTGAGCCCAAGGCAAAAGTGAGGCTGAGGTCAGGGAGGCTGCAGCTTGGTAAGCAGGGGTGGGGGATGGAGGAAATGGGAAAAGATGACATTAGAAAGGCTGGTGGAGGCTGGATCGCATGGGGATTGGAAAGGATTTGGGTTTTACTCCAAGTGTGATGGGGTAGGACTGGCATAGAAGCAGGGAGATGATTTAACAGCTGTTGTAGCCATCCAGGAGGGGACAGGCAGTAGGCTGAGGAGGTACCTCTCAGACACCATCTAGGGGCTGTGGGACAGAAGGGAGGGCCAAAAGCAAAGACACAGGTTGCTAGGCAGCTGGGGCCTCCCAGGCCGGCAAAGCCCCCAGTGATAAGGTCTCGTGCGTTCTGTGTTCCGGATCTCCCTCTCTCCAGTAACTCAGAGCAGCCACCTCTGTAGAGCTTGCTTCTTAGAAACAGCTTTAGAACCAGAGTCCCAGAATCCCAGACTAGCCAGGAACCCACCGCTCTGAGAGGTTGTCCAGGTAAGTCATGGTGAACAATTTGGGAGGCAAAGGTCCCTTCAAAAACCAGAAAAAGCTATGGACATTTTTCCCCCCAAGATGCAAGTATGCACACGAAATGCACAGTTAACCTTTAGAACTTCACAGAGCTAGCTTAAGAACTCCCAACCTAGCTGGTCTATCTCCTTCACTTTGCAGATATGGAAACTGAGACCCAAGGAGGATAATGGATTTGCTCAGGGTCATCTGGTCAGTGTCCTTCCCTCGAAACCATACCATCTCATTTACAGAATGCCCATTAAATGGCTGTCATGACTGCACTTATTGATTGCCCATAGCAGCTCAACATATTCAAAGTGTACCCGGCACATAAAAACAAAGAAACCTCAGCTTCACGGCCTTGTCAATTAGGCCTAAGACCACTCTCTAGCTAAAAACCATTAAGCACTGCATTAAGAGTGATTTCTCTGACCATCTCCATATTTAGAGAGGCTTTTGAAGGGGTGTCTCAAGTGGCCCAGTGCTTTTTAAAAGGTCTGAATTAAGGCCTTCTTGTCCTGCCTTGGGAGCCTTCCACAGGCCCTGCCAGTGGGGCTGAGAGGACACAACACAAACTAACAGTCACTGCTATTATGGAGCCCTTACTAGACGCCAAGGGCCACACTAAGTGCCTTCTATGCATGCGCTCATCAGTCATAAATCAACCTAGCAGGGTGGGTGCCACTGTTCCCATGTCAGGTCATTTAAATTAGGTTGCTAGGGCCGGGCACGATGGCTCATGCCTGTAATCCCAGCATCTTGGGAGGCTGAGGTGGGCAGATCACTTGAGGTCAGGAGTTTGAGACCAGCCTGGCCAACAGGGTGAAACCCAATTTCTACTAAAAATACAAAAACTGGGTGTGATGGCGGATGCCTGTAATCCCAGCTACTCAGGAGGCTGAGGCACAAGAATCGCTTGAACCCAGATGGCAAAGGTTGCAGTGAGCCAAGATCGCGCCACTGCACTCCAGTCTGGGCAGCAGAGCAAGACTCGGCCTCAAATAAACAAACAAATAATACATAAATAAATAAGTAATAAATTAGGTTGGTAGGCCTTCCGTAAAAAAAGGCCACAACCAGGTGGTGGCTTAAACCACAGAAGTCTGAGATTAAGGTGTGTGCAGGAATGGTTCCTTCTGAGGATGTATTCCAGGCCTTTCTCCTTGGCTTGTAGATGACCATTTTCTCCTTGTTTTTTTCATATTTTCTTCCTTCTATGCATGTCTGTCTCTGTGCCCAAATTCCCCCTTTTGATAAGGACATTAGCCATACTAGATGAGGGCCCACCCTAATGATCTCATTTTAACTTGATTATCTCTGTGAAGCCCCTGGCTCCAATGAGGTCGCATTCTGAGGCACTGGGGGTTTAGGACTTCAGCCTACCTGTTTTGGGAGGATACAATTCAACCCATAATACCCTGGGTCCCAAAAAGGTGAAGCTGGGATTCAAACCCAAGTCTCTTCTCTCCCTCTGAAACCAGGACCCTCATCTATCATCCTGCTTCTGAAAGTGAGAAGGAACACTCAAGACCATTCATTCCCATTTGCAGATGGGGAAATGGAGTTTGGGCAAGGGTTGGGAATGGCCCAAGTCATGCGGCAAGTCTGTGGCTGAGCGAGGACAGGCCTCGGACCAAACACACCGAACAGCAGGCTCATGTGCACGGCCTCTCTGGCCCCTCACCATGCCTGCTCACGCCCCTGCCCTGGGCCCCCTTCTCCAGTAACACCATACCTTTTCTCTGAAAGGAAGGTGGCTGCCCCAAGCCAGGGAGATAAATGACCTTGGCTGTGGATTAATGGGGTTTCATCTAGACTCACATAAGTGGCTTCATTGGAAGCTTGTCTATCTTGCTGGAAATTGATTCCCTGCTTAAGAAAGAATGCATCTTCAGTAAAAATGGTGGCTCTACTTTCCAGGCTATAATCAGCAAATGGTCTAGCTTAGTGCCTGGTCCAGAGCAGATTCTCAGAAACTACTAAGTGGAAGAAAGCGCGAGGGGGTGGGGCGGAGGGGTGGCTGCAGTGACAGCTTGGGTTCTGGGTCTGTCAGTACTCAATACACGTCCTTCATTGGGTCACCTCCCCACTCTGGTCCTCACTGCCCCCTCTGGAAAAGAGATCATAAAGCCAGATAAGCCCCCTGGACACCCCTGCTCAAGCATTTGATATAATTCTGTACTTACCAAGTTTCTGAGACCCACATAGGCTTTGGGGAAACAGGCAGAACTCAGCATTTTATAAACAAATAAAGGAATGGATGTGTGAATGACTTTTCAGAGGGGAGACAAAGTGCAGAAAGAAGGACTGTCTTGAAATGGAAGGAAGCCTAGACAAGGCGGGCAAAAGAGCCCAGGCTTTGCTGTTAACACTGATCCTTTCAGATCTGGACATACATTAATTTTTTTTTTGCCACCTCGGTTTCTGTTGACAAAATGGGGATAATAAAAACAATCCTGCCTCCCAGGGTTCTTACAAAGATAAAGTACCAGAGACTGGGAACATGGCATAGATCAGACACTCGTGAGTCGTGGTCACAGACTGCTATCGTCTGAATGTTTGTGATTCCCCCAAATTTATGTTGAAATCCTAACCCCCATAATGAGGCAGTGAGGAGGTAAGGCCTCTGGGAGGTGATGAGATCACGAATGGGATGCATACCCTTATAAAACAGACCCAAGAAAGCTCAGTTGCCCCTGGTACCCTGTGAGAATACAAGAAGCTGCCATCTGTGAACCAGGAAATGGGTCCTCGCCAGATACAAAATCTGTCCGGCGCCTTGATCTTTGGCTTCCCAGCATCCAGAACTGTGAGCAATAAAGTTCAGTTGTTTATAAGTCACCCAGTTTATGGCATGTTGTTACAGAAGCAGAAACAGACTGAGACACAGATATGGCGCTTTCTAGTTCCCAAGTGACATTCACAGCTGTGGTCTCATCAGTACCCTCCCAAGATGCAGGGGATGGCCAGTGGTTAGCATTCCCATTTGACTGATGGGAACACCGGGCTCCAGGAGGGTGAATGCTTCAGGAACTCATCCCCAACTGATATCCTCAGTTCTAAACCTGCTGGCTCACTCAATTCTTTTCCAACACCTTTGACCAGCCACCTAATCCCAGTGTCAACATGGCTTATGGTTTCTGTTGGGGGAATGATCTTGCCCTGCCAGCCAGACCATGCTGGCTCTCTTCGGGCTGGCCTGGGATGGTGGGGATTTTGGGCCCCACCCGGCTACACTGCCCTCCTGTGACTGCCATCTTAGATATCCTAAGTCCTGCCCAACTGCCAGCTTGGTGCCTCCTTCACTGACAAGAAGTTGTATTTGATGATCTGAGGCAAGTTATTTATTTATTTATTTTTTGAGATGGAGTTTCGCTCTTGTTACCCAGGCTGGAGTGCAATGGCGTGATCTTGGCTCACCGCAGCCTCTGTCTCCTGGGTTCAGGCAATTCTCCTGCCTCAGCCTCCTGAGTAGCTGGGATTATAGGCATGCGCCACCATGCCCAGCTAATTTTTTGTATTTTTAGTAGAGACGGGGTTTCACCAAGTTGACCAGGATGGTCTCGATCTCTTGACCTCGTGATCCACCCGCTCGGCCTCCCGAAGTGCTAGGATTACAGGTGTGAGCCACCGCGCCCAGCAAATTCTTCTTTTTATACTGCTGTCAGGAATGCAGATCGGCAATGAGATCTGCTGGAGTAGCAAGCACTGGCCTCACCATCCCCTCTTTCTGTGGCGGATACCACTAACTGATCCCAGCCTGACATCCTGCTGAGCCCCAAGCCTTCTCAACGTGGAGCCTAAGCAGCTGTTACTAATTGATTAGAACCGGCCTAGTCTAGACTATGACCCTGTGCCTCTGCTTACCTTCTAGGAAGGAAGTGTGAGAAATGCCCATGAAGCCCCACAAAGCCATTTCACTTTATAAATGTTTTGTTCCTTCTCTCAGTTCTGTTATTTGGCCTGCCTCTCACTCATTCCTTTCCTAATGGGTGGAAGCCCACTGAATTTCCTCCGGGAAGCTGCTCTTCCCTTACCCTCAAGCAGACCAGGGAAGCACAGCTGGCCAATTAAAGTGCTTTATCCTGCCAGGTGCTGTGGCTCATGCCTGTAATCCCAGCACTTTGGGAGGCCGAGGTGGGCAGATCACGAGGTCAGGAGTTTGAGACCAGCCTGGCCAACATGGTGGATCTAAAACACAAAAAGAGAAAAAATAGCTAAATTCTACCAAAAATACAAAAATTTGCTGGGCATACTAGCGCATGCCTGTAGTCCCAGCTACTTGGGAGGCTGAGGCAGGACAATCTCTTGAACCCAGAAGGTGGAGGTTACCATGCTTTATCCTACGGCCAACAACTGGTTGGATTGGGTGGGTCAGAGCAAATACCAGAAAACTACAGAAGCATTTGGACAAGGGGGCTGAGCTGGCTGGATTCCATTCTAGATAGGCTGGCAGCCCTCTTGGCCATTACCTGCAAAGGGCCTGCCTGAGAAAAAAGCCAGAGCAGGGAGGGCAGAGCCAAGAAACTGACAGAGATAGATTCCCAATGAAAAACGGAAACACTTGGATTCAGCTGTGCCTGAAGGCAGGCATTCCCTGTGCTCCACAGTTACGTGAGCAAATATATTCCCTCTCTAGATTACATGCCAGTTGGAGTTTCTACCACCCATCAATGAAAAAGTGATAACTAATTCAACACTCTTATATTATGAAAAAAAAAAACAATCTTCCCATGTCTTCCAAATTAATACAAATCTCCTAAAGAAGCTTCCAGGAGAACAATGGGGAGAGTAGTTTATCTTAGTCCCCACAGAAATACAGCATCAGCTGAAATAAGACTCAAAGCCATAAACACAAAGTTACACTCCAGACAAAATAAGGGGACAAAACAGAGGGGCTCTGAGCCCAGCTTAGAAGAACAGAACATCCTAAACTCAGAGATAAACTAGACCATTGGAAGGGCCTCCCACCAAAACATTTAAGGCCTAAAGATCTCAACCCGGCATCCAAGGTTCTTTCTGCGCAGAAGCATCTGGCTTCAGGCTTGCAGAACTCAACCTTGGTGATACTCAGCTTTTTACAACTGGGCTTCAAGCCTTACCCAAGCAGGTGCCTAGTCAGGGCTTGGCGTAAAGCGACCTGAGAGAAGGTCACCAGTTCTGGTGAGAGTGGATCTTCCAGCCCAGAGAACAAGATGGGGGTCCAGTGCTCAGAACTGAGCTCCAAAGCTGGGCACCCAGCCAACCAGGAGGCCCAGTTTCCAGGGACCTGGGAAGGCAGCTCTGCCTGGTAGGCAGGGCAACACGATGGAGAAAGCTGTGGTCCCTGACACTGCCCTGGGACACCTATCTCAGGATCTGAGTGAGGACTCAACTCAGAGCTCATCAAACTTCTTGTCATATGGGGGGAGTTTTCTGCTACCTGCAGCCAAAGCTAATCCAATCCAGGCCATATAAAAGGGGCTCTCCTAACCAACCCACCAAACAACCAGGTTAACCAACACTCCCCACCTTCTCCTGTAATAACACCCTTTACTAATGCCCAAGGCGCCCCAGAGCCTCAGCTGGTCTGCTCCCATCAGCTGAGTTATTTATTTACTAAGATTCACTTGTTTCTTCCCAAACCCACTGGATATTGTAATTACAAAATTTCATTAACTGGTCCATAAACAGAAAATATGAGTACAAAAAAAGAGATTTCAATGAAAACTAAGTTAAAGGCTGTGGAAAGATTTAATAAAGTTGAGTTGCTAAAAAGACAACATTGCCATCAAACTTCATGTGAGTGAGATCATGGTAAAAGATTAGGGGCTGGGCACGGTGGCTCATGCCTGCAATCCTAGGACTTTGAGAGGTGAAGGCGGGCGGATCATGAGGTCAGGAGATCGAGACCATCCTGGCCAACATGGTGAAACCCTGTCTCTACCAAAAATATTAAAAAAAAATAAATTAGCTGGGCATGGTGGTGCACATCTGTAGTCCCAGCTACTCAAGAGACTGAGGCAGGCTACTCACTTGGACCCAGGATGCAGAGTTTGCAGTGAGCCTAGATTGCACCACTGCACTCCAGCCTGGCGACAGGGTGAGACTCTGTCTCAAAAAAAAAAAAAAGATTAGGAGAAATTTGCAAGAATCAAAGATTCAGCACTCAGCTTGACAAGAGTCAAAGTTCTTGATCCAACTGAATGCATCCTGAAACTGAAAACTAGCACTGTGGGTGTCATCTACGCAGGAAAGATGACTTGGAGTTTCAATGCTGGCACCACAAACAGTCCTATAGCAAAAGACTGGCAAAAATGAATGCACATGTCATATGGCTTCACTAAAAGACAATGTAGGCATGTCTTTTACAATTCTGGGCTTTATCTGACTTCTTCCTAGGAATTCCCCTCTTCAGCCTCCTTGTACCTCCTGGCTGCAGTTCCCACTCTCATCAGATAAGAAGGTGATGACTGTACACAGACTCTGGCCTCCACGGCGCAGGAAATTAAGCCTTATGATGGACTACCGTAACACGGAACCAGGGTTTTATGCACCAGAAGGGTCTGGAGTAACATTTTTAGAGACAAATCTCTCATCTTGCAGGTGAGGGCATTGAGGCTAAGAAAGAAGGAACAGGGAGTCACCCAAGATCCACACAGCCAGCTCCTGACAGGGCCAGAACACAAGGTGAGATCTCCCGTGTGACTCGTCCAGACCAGTTTCCAGAATGACAGGCCACTTCCTCAACATCTGTGGCGCAGCCACTGAAAGTTCTGCGTTAGGTCCATCTCTCTTTAAATGGCAAGGGAAAGAAAGAATAGGCAGTCTCCTGGGCAGGTGTTACCTTGCAGTTATCTCCTTTCCCACTTCTGTTGCCTGTAAGCAGCCCCTTATCTGCTGAAGATCTGCAAAGTGTCTCATTGCTGTGCTGGGGTAAGATTACCTGCGGTGGGGTGGCTCCTGGATGGCCTGGCATGTGGCTATGCAGAGTCCAGATTCCCCTCCTCCAGCGCTGAGGTCGGCTAGGCCCCCCACCCCATCTTTGGCAGCATGGATCCTGGCACCTCTCAGGAGGGTGGCCAATCAGCAGGTACAAGCCTGCCCCGGGCCTAGGAAGGCAGCATTTTATTTTGTTTGTAAACAAAAAGGTTGAAGCATATTCTGCGCAAGGTGTTTTAGTGCAGGGTGATATACGCATTGTGTCTGGCTGCACTCGCAGTCAATTTTATGCACTTGAACTCAAGGGCCTCTTGAATTCAAAGGAGAGTGGCAGGAAAGCACTTGCTAAACTGCAAAATGAGGTACAGGTACATGTTGTTAGGCTTTGCTGAGGCAGAGTTGGCCCTGGCTCATAATGCGCTAGTTACACTGAGTTGCTTGCCCTCTGCGCGTATCTCGAGACCAGCCTCCCTCCCGGAACAGTTGTGTAGCTCGAGTTTCCACCCCAAGGCCACTGCGCTGGAGGCTTCCTCAGCCTGGAACGCCTTCTCTCCACTACGTCTCCCATAGCGGCTTCCTTCTTTCTATACTCATCCCAGGTTAAACGCCCATCCCGAGATGGGCCTCGCTGACCACTGCATCCCATCTCTGGTCTACCCAGCACCCTGCTGGAAGTCCCTCAATTAGCATTAACCATTCTTTGCTATTCCCCTGTCCCCTTTATCTTAAATTGCAGTAAATATAAATAACATAACATTTATCAATTGCTTTTTTTTCATACAGGATCTCACTCTGTCACCCAGGCTGGAGTGCAGTAACATGATCATGGCTCATTGCAGCCTTGACTTCCCAGGCTCAAGCAGTCCTTCCACCTCAGCCTCCTGAGTAGTAGCTAGGACCACAGGTCCACACCACCATTCCCAGCTTGCTTACTGATTTATTTATGGTAGAGATGGGGGTCCTTCTATGTTGTCCAGGCTAGTCTTAAACTCTTGGGCTTAAGCAAACCTCCCGCTTTGGTCTCCCAAAGTGCTGGGATGACACGCATGAGCCGCCATGCCTGGCCCATTTTAAACATTTGTAAGTGTGCAGTTCAGTGGCATTAAGTACACCCACATTGCTTTGCAGCCATCACCACCATCCATCTCCAGAACTACCCACATTATTAATTTATCTACTTGTTTACTGCTGTCTCCCGCAACCGGTAGCTCCACGTGAGCAGGGGCTGTGTCTGTGCCCATCTTGTTGCTCACTGTATCCCAAATGCCCGGCATAATGCCTGGCCCATGGTAGGTGCTCAATAAAGGGTGTTCAAGAAACAAAATGGGTGTCTTGTAAAGGGTATAGGGCCGTGCACAAAAACAAGAGAGCGCAACAGGTGCACTTTTCCACACAACCCAGAGACAAGACCAAATTTCCTGGCAGCCTCAGTCACCAGATAACAATTTCAGGTTCTGTCAAAGTCTGTGGGGGCAAAACCGCTGAGAGCTCCATTTCTTTCCTGGTTCCAGGCCCCTCTGTGAGGTCAAGAATGAAGATACATGATCATACAAACCACCTGACATCAACACTCACCATTTCAACACATCAGCTCTACCGAGAGCAACATTTTATCAGTTGCTGAAGAGCAGGCACAAAAATAGACTGCAGGGATCAAATGCCACCCTCAGCTGCTCTCTTGACTCTCAGGAGTGAAAGTTCCTGCCTGGCATCCGAGGACCCCAGGGCCTAGGGACCTGAAGGCAGAGGTCAGCTGTTAACACCAGTTACACAGATTTTAGAAGGCAGAGCCAGGGCTGGAATTAGGGTGCCTTAGACACCAAAATACTGTCATCAAGGTAGATCATATTTTAATGCAATTTACAAATGAATGCAAAATATCTACCCAAGATTAACAAAATACCAAAATTCTCAGTAAAGGTGAAGTCGGTAGTGCCGATGGTTTTGCTCTTACCTCAGGTTCCTGCAGGGTTACGCATGACCCTGTCACTCTTGCTGGTTTTGTTTTAAAATTGGATATTTTGTTCGGCATGGATATTTTCACATCAATTATTTTTAAACACGAATATAAATAGGATTGATCTTGATGACTGAGTTTGTTGGCATCTCCTTAAATTCTGTGCCAGAGTCAAGTGCCTCCTTTGCCTCACCTTAGCCCACACCTGCGTGGCATTAAATGGGGAAAGTTGCTGTTCATGCAGGTGACTAAAATGGGACCATGTCTCAGTTCATGCCATTTAGTGGGGCCTCAGTTTCAACATCTCTGAAGTAGGTAGGGCCCATGAACTCCTAGTTGCTGTGGAATTGTTCCAGCCCTTGTGAGGTATTTTGGATGGGGGTTTAGGAGAACTGTAAAGTGCTTGTAAGAAACTTTCTGGCTGGGTGTGGTGGCTCACACCTATATTCCCAGTATTTTGGGAGGCCGAGGCGGGCGGATCACCTGAGGTCGGGAGTTCAAGACCAGCCTGCCCAATATGGAGAAACCCCGTCTCTACTAAAAATACAAAAATCAGCCGGGCGTGGTGGTGCATGCCTGTAATCCTAGCTACTTGGGAAGCTGAAGCAGGAGAAATGCTTGAACTTGGGAGACAGACGTTGCGATGAGCCAAGATCACACTATTGCACTCCATCCTGGACAACAAGAGTGAAACTACATCTCAAAAAAAAAAAAAAAAAAAAAAAAAACTTTCCAGGAACTCTTATTAAGTTCTTTCTCCAAGATGGTAAATGACCTGCCAGGGTAGGGGGTGGTATACAAAACACTTGCCCTATCTCTAATGAAAGGAGTGAAGTTCGTGAAATGCATCAACTTTGCTTAATAAAAAAAAAGCGACTGGAGCGGATTCCTGGTTCTTCCTGCAATCAGGATGTCCTCTGGCGGTCCACTCACTGGAATTCTGACCCCAGTCCTGAGTCGGACGGAAAGCAAAGGGTGACTTCTAGTTCATGTCGCACAGCTGAAGGGACGACCACTGACACCCTGCTCATGAGCTGGCAGGTGCTTCCTTTCCTTCCCATATTGTGTGGGATTTCCTCAAAATCCGGATGTGCCTAGGGACATGTCAGCCACCCTCCTGTGTCAGGAGGATGACAAAGTACCTGGCTTTGGGAGGATAGAAAAATTCTGGGCTGATGATAGTTTTATGGCACTGTGAATGTACTTAATGCCACTGTTTTGTACATTTATAAATGGTAAACCTTAGTCTGTGCAACATGGCAAAACCCTGTCTCTATTAAAAAAATACAAAAAAAATTAGGCATGGTAGTGTGTGCCTGTCCTCCCAACTACTCTGGAGTCTGAGGTGGGAGGTCACCCGAGCCCAGGAGGTTGAGGCTGCAGTGAGCTGTGATTGAGCCACTGCACTACTCCAGCCTGGATGACAGAGTAAGACCCTGTCACAAAAAAATAAAATAAAATAAAAGGTAAATTTTATGTTAGGTACCATGTAACACATTTTTTTTTAAAAGTTGGCCGGGCGAGGTGGCTCATGGCTGTAAACTCAGCACATTGGGAGGCTGAGGTGGGCGGATCAGCTGAGGACAGGAGTTCAAGACCAGCCTGCCCAATATGGTGAAACCCCGTCTCTACTAAAAATACAAAAATTAGCTGGGCATGGTGGTAGGCACCTGTAATCCCAGCTACTTGGGAGGCTGAGGCAGGAGAATCACTTGAACTGGGGAGGTGGAGGTTGCAGCGAGCCAAGATCGCGCCATCACACTCGAGCCTGGGCAACAAGAGCGAAACTGCGTCTCAAAAAAAAAAAAGTCCCAGAGACCAAAAGAACAAAGTGCCCCACACACTCCATCTGGAGGTGTTCTCTGGGATCCTACAGTGTCCACGTTCTGAGGTTCTATTTCTGCATCTCCTGGCCCGGCTGGCAGGAGAGACCAAGGGAGCAGGGCCAGGGCTCAGCTGAGAAGCCCTTTTTCCTGTAAACACTGTTATAAATAACCCAGAAAGAGGCTGAAAGGGGGTCCTGGCAAGAAAGTGAAGGTCAGGCAGCCCCTTCATGGCATTTAAGGAAATGTCACTCAACAGGACAGCAAGGTGCCAGTGCACACCTTCAGCCCAGTGCTGCCTGGGGCTGACTGCAGCCTTGCTGTCAAGCCAGAGCGCCCAGGGAGCACTCCCACACCCAGGATATGCAGCCCTAAGGTGGCAGGCTCCTGGGGTTTATACAGACAGGGGACCCTCAGGTGGGTGGACAGGCAGTGGATAGCTGGCAATTCCCCCTTCCCAGTAGGCTTGGTAGGCCAGAGCTGAAGTCAGTTCCCCAATAACCCAGGCCAGGACTCCACACCAGCCTGGGCTTGTCAGCCAACACATGACCAGGCCGAGGGAGAGATGACTCAGCAGTGCTCGGCCCACAGCTGTCCCTGCTGCTGCACGGCGTGGGAGCTGGAGGGGCCTCACAGCCCATCTGGTCCTGTGGTTCCCACGCTGGGCTCCCTGGGGAACCCCCACAGCTCTACCATGGCCCTGGGCTTTGAAATGGGAGGGATTATGAAGGAGTTAATTAGGTTTTCCATATTTATTAACCAAAAGCCATACAGTGGCAACCCCTCATATTCCTATGTAACTAGAGTGAATTCAACATTATGTCCTTGGCCAAAAAGATAAATAGGCCAGGCACAGTGATTCACACCTATAATCCCAGCACCAAGGGGGCCAGATCACCTGAGGTCAGGAGTTCAAGACCAGCCTGGCCAACATGGCAAAACCCCATCTCTACTAAAAACACAAAAATTAGCCAAGTATGGTGGTGCACGCCTGTAATCCCAGCGACTTAGGAGGCTGAGGCAGGACAATCGCTTGAACCCAGGTGGCAGAGGTTACAGTGAGCTGAGAACACACCACTGCACTCCAGCCTGGGCAACAGAGCAAGACTCTGTCTTTAAAAAAAAAGAAAAGATAAAACAGATAAAAAGTCACATTTCTACTTCCTTCTTACACATTAGAAATAGGGTGATGTATCTCGCATATGAATTCTATATTTGCATACTCTCATATACACATACCTATTTTCCATATATACTACTTTGTGGGCTATTTAAGGACTCTATGAGGTTAATGTAACCCAAACCCCAAACTAAGAAACCACTCCCCAAGTACATGGTATTTACCACTCAGGTGTCTGAGCAGCCTGTGAGAGTCCAGCAAAGTGGGGATTCCCTATTTTATCTATTTGACTTTGAAAGAATGGGGAGGGGCAAGTTATCCACCCCTGTTAGTACCTCTGAAAGTCTTCCTGGGTTCAGGAAGCCTGGGCAACATCACAGAGGAAGCACAGGCTCCCATCAAGAGGGTCAGGGCTTGCCCACCAGGCCCAGCAAGCTGGAGACAGAACACCAGGGTTTGTTACTCGCTCTCCTGCTGAAAACCCTCCCAACTTCTCACTGCCCTTGACAAAAACCCCAGAGTCCTCAGGAACCGAGTGCAGCTGCAGCCTGCCTGCTTCTTCCCTACCTCCTGGACTCTCCACTCTCCCCTTATAGTAGGCATGGTGTCCTTCTTTCTTCCCCTGAAACACAACCCTCTGGCTGGGGTTGTTCACCTGGGATACCTCCCCAGGTCCTGGGAGCGAGCACCTTCCCACCATTCAGTCTCAGTGAGAGAGGCCTTCCCCCACACCCCACTCCATCTGCTCACAGGGATTACATCACTGTGGTTTTTTGTTTTTGTTTTTTTGAGACAGTCTCATTCTGCCACCCATGCTGGAGTGCAGTGGTGTAAGCTCGGCTCACTGCAACCTCTGCCTCCTGGGTTCAAGAGATTCTCTTGCCTCAGCCTCCCAAGTAGCTGGGACTACAGGCACACTCTACCACCTGGCTAATTTTTGTATTTTTTGTTGAGATGGGGTTTCACCATGTTGTGCAGGCTGGTTTCAAGCTCCTGATCTCAAGTGATCTACCTGCCTCAGCCTCCCAAAGTGCTGGGACTACAGGCATGAGCCACCACACCTGGTCACATCACTGTGTTTTAAGCATAGCATGGACCCAGGGACCACCTGTCTCCTCTCTAGAATATAAACTGTGTGAGCACCTGACCTTGTCCTTTGCTGAATCCCTGCATCTGGAAAGGTGCCAAGCACTGAGTAGGTGTTTACTAACCCTTTGCAGGATGGGAAGGAGTGGGGTGGAGGGCAGTTTTGGCATCTCTGCCTCAGACTATTGTGCAGCCTGCAGTCTCTCTCACACTCACCCCACCTTTACTGGGAGTTGAGGGGTGGTTTCCTTCCGCATCCATTTATTCCCTTATGGAAACTCCTGCCTTTCCTTTTCCAGTGGGTCAGATGATGAGAAACGCAGACGCACAGGCTCCCAGATCAAGCTGGTGGGAAAGAGGTTCTCTTTGGCCCCAGCAGGCTCTCCTTGGTCATGTGGTAAGTGAGGGCCAGAGGCCAAGGGAAACCAAGGAGGCCTGCTGAGCAGACCCCCACTCGCTCAGGTCCTGCAGATCCAAGGCCCTAGCTGGCCTTCTAGCCACAGCTGAGCCTGCCTTACGCAGCAGTGCGTTCCAGAGTGAAGAACTGGGCGAGTACAGTGAATCTGTGTCAACTGAATCGTACGTCTCCACTCTCCCTTCTCAAGTAACAGGGATGTGTCCTGGGGTAGGGGTGGTACTGCAGCAGGCTCCCCACCCTGGGCCTCCTCACTGTGTGCTAATGACAGAATAACAGGCACCTGAACTCAGAAAGGGGGACAAGCAGATGCTCCATTACCACCCAGGACGAAGAGAAACAAACAGGCAGGAGGTGAGAAGCTCTCTCAATTACAGAACAAGGAGGTTTTTTGTCAAGTGAAGCACCTGCCATACCCACATGTAAGTACCACCTGAACCCATTTTCCTGCCCTACTAGGTTCCTCCCAGCCTAGTAGGATTGAGGGTCTTGGGGCTCATAAAAATCCTGTATGCTATTCTCCCATTTGATCCTCACAACAGGGCAGAGAAGCCATTTTCTCAACTGAAAAGCTGAGGTTCAGAGGGAAAGTGAGCTGCCTAAAGTCACACAGCAAGTCAAAGAGAGGACCAGGACTAGAACCTCAAGACCTCTGAGTCCTAGTGGAAGCAATAAAATAGCACTGGATGGGGAGTCACAACCCTGAATCCTCTGTGCATGGAATTTTGGAGGAGTCCCTCTGCTTCTCTGAGCCTCATTTCCCCATATTCCAGCACTGGTCAACCTCAGAGAGCACAGCCATTCAACCAGGGCCCCGGGACAGGCAGGGTCAGCACGTGAGCAGGGTGGGAAAGTGTCAGGTGCCCCATAAGCAATTCCTAAAAAGGAGGAAAGACGGTGGGGATGGAGGTGGTGAGTACTGAGAGCTGGTGAATTCCTCAAGTGGGAGAATCCCTTAAGTGGCAAGTGGGAGCTCTGCTGGCTCCTCCCTGTGCTACTCACGGTGTGGACCATGAACTAACAGCATCAGCCTCTCCTGAGCTTATTAAATAAATACGGCAGCCCTTCACACCCATCCCAGACCCCCGAATCAGAATCTGCGTTTTAACAAAGTACCCAGGTGATTCACAGTCACATTTAAGTTTGGGAAGCAAAAATGTTTAAATCAAGAGTCAGATCCTTATCATGTGACCACGGGTGCAACACCTGAGTCCTCCCAGCCCCAGCTGCCCATCTGTAGAGAGGAAGCTGTGTATGCCTCACAGAAGTGTCACGAGGGCTTTGCGAGGTCACATATGCCAAGAGCCTAGCCCAGAGCCCGGCAGGTAACAGCCGTCCAAACTGCTAGCTTCCTTCCTTCTCGAGAGGCCAGAAGGAAGGAGGCTTCTGCCTCCATTCCAAGTCCTGCTGCACATCTGGGAGGCGAGGAATAGACCCCCGTGGGGCCGCAACAGATGGGGACAGGGTGGGAGCTGAGGGAAAGAAGGAGAGGAAGTCAAGAAGAAAAATAAAAACAAGCAGCAGAGACCATCTGAATCCCGCAAGGCAGGCAACATGCAAAGCCCAGAGACGCGGCCGGTTCAGCTCACGTGGCAAAGTGAGTGCTGCCAGCAGCCAGCAAGCCAGGAGGCATGGAGAAGCGAGGGCCACATGGCTGTGTCCTTGCCGACTATGTGGGACAAGGCTTATCCAGACCAGCTCTGAGGTCAGGGCAGACACTACACTGAGGGTCGCTGGAGCAACCAGACAGAAGCTGGGGCCTCGGGCCAAGCCCTGAGAAGGGTCAAAGTGAACTGGAGAACACTTATCCAGAGGAGCCTGGGAGTCGGGGGTGGGGTGGGGCTGACCTGTGGAATCTTGGCCAAATGATTTCACTTCTCTGGGCCTCAGTGAAATAGGGGACACCCACCCACTTAGGGTTCTTATGAGGATTAATGAGAAGGGCTTCATATAGTGTCCAGTGCAAAGTAAGTACTCAAAAGACAATGGCCATCTGTGAGATGACTAAACGAGAGTCCTTAAGCAACTACAGATGCAGCCTCTCTGGGCTGCTGGGCCTCCCTGCACCTTCCTGACACCCAGTCACTGGGTTAACCCTTCATCATCTGAGATGGACCCCATTCACATCACCAACTCACACCTCCATGGCAGCCACAGCCACAGCCTCCCGCCTCTACTCCAGCCCCCACAAGGCTGCCAGACACAGAGCAGCCACAGCTATCTTCTGAAGACACAGACCTGACCCCACTGGCTCCCACTGACTCCTCCCAGGTAAAGACTGAACGCCTTCCTGCGGCCTGTAAGGTCCTGCATGCTCTGTCTCCTGCCTCCCCTTCCCACATCATTTCATACCAGCACCCACTCCCTCCTGCTGCTCTGAGCCCTGCTGTCTGCTTTCCACCCCTGGCACTCGACAGGATCTGTCCCCTGACAGAGCCCCTTCGCATGCTGTCCCCTCTCCCTGGAACACGCTTCCCACACAGAGGCTTTGCCTACTTATCTCCTATTCATCCTTCACTCTACTTCCTCAAGGAAGCTTTTATTTTGAGCTTGCAGATCATATGAGGAGCCCTACCGCACCCTCTCACGGCCTTCTAGAGGTCCAGAGGCTTCTGGAGCTTAGCACACTGGGAAATTTAACATTTATTATTAAACATTCATTTGCATGAGTATATTATTAATGCTCACTACTGCATCCCTGGCACCTGGCACACAGTAAGTGCTCAATAAACACTTGGAGAGGGGATTAGGAGACTGGCTATTCCCTTGTGCCCATATCACCCACTCATCCTACAAGGTCCCGCTCTGTATGCATCCCCTAGGTCTTAATTTTCCATACACATGGGACAAACCCTGACACTGCCTGATCCACACCCTATATCCATGACCCATAGGCCCCGCGCCAGAGAACTAAACGTTTCTAGATCTGATTTTCTTGAAAGCAGTTTTGGGTCATGGCCAAGGGAGGCGTGTGCCGCCGCCTCAGCAGTAAACGCTGATGAAGCTGTCTGGACCAGATGAGCTGAAATCAGGAAATGCCAAGATTTAAAAGCATCCGGAACCCATTTATTTACTATTGTTCTTGCACTTCCAGGCTATTTTGAGCTTCAGATCAATTGGTTGGCCCTCTTCCCTCCAAATATCACTCCCGAAACACCCAACATGCACCTGGCCCCACCTGTTGGGGCTCAGCTCCCCCTGCCCCACCTGTCACATGACAACAGCAGCAAAAACAGGGGAGGCTATTTACCAGGTGCCTCTGTGAGTAGTAAGTGCTCTCACCAAAAAGTCCCTAACAGTCCCAAAGGGAGGTATTGTTAGCTCCATTTAAGATATGGGGAAATTGAAACTCAGAGGTGAAGAAATGTGTCCAGGGTCACAGAGCTAGAGAGTGCTGAAACTGGGATTGGACTCCAGATCTTCCACATCCAAAGGCCAGGCTCAAAATCGCTTGGCAATACAGCCTCCCTCACTCCTGTCAAAGCTCCCCATACACCCTGTGGGTTTTCTCATCTCTGAGTTCTTGGTAATATCTTTCCAGCCACCTGCTATGACCACCAGTGTTTCGAACCACCGGTCAAAAGCCACCCTTCCCCACATGCACTGCTATGAGAAGACTGCCAAGATGGGCTGTTAGGTGGAAGGGGATGTTAACATTATGTGATCCTGTTTACCTTTTTTTTAATGATGCATAGATAGGTAGTTCATATATCCATAGATTATTGCTAGAAGGACACACAAGAATAGTAGGAGTTGGAAGGAACACGAACAAGGAGTTGGTTGGGCATGGGGGAGGCCAGAGCATATTTACTTTCTATTTTATGTCCTTCTTTACTCTTTGAAGTTTTTTAGTTTTATCATATACATGCTGCAACTCACTCCTCAAAACCCAATTCTGGCCAAGTGCAGTGGCTCATGCCTATAATCCCAGCACTTTGGGAGGCCGAGGTGGGTGAATTACCTGAGGTCAGGAGTTCGAGACCAACCTGGCCAATATGGCGAAACCATCTCTACTACAAAAAATACAAAAATTAGCCAGGCACAGTGGCATATGCCTGTAGTCCCAGCTACTCAGGAGGCTGAGGCAGAAGAATCACTTGAACCCAGGAGGCAGAGGTTGCAGTGAGTCAAGATCACACCACTGCATTCCAGCCTGGGCGACAAGAGCAAGACCCAATCTCAAATAAGCAAAACAAAACGAAACAAAAAACAAACCCAACTCACATGCCACCTCCTCTATGGAGCCTGCCCTGGTTGCCCCAGCTTCTCCTTCCTCCATTTTTTCTCTGGGCATTTAGGTCACTGAGGCTGTGTCCCCAGTGTACATACGTATCAGCAGGAGCCTCGGGGCCTGGGTCAGTGTCTTGGGCTTCCAGGGTCTCCCTTCAATCTGAGCCGGAGCCTTTGCTCAGGGAGGGGCATGAGAGCCCTGGTGAATGAATAATTATTTTACTTTCTATCTTGGTCCATGCCTCCTGAAGCCAAAGAAGCTGGAGACTCTAAAATGGAGCTTGGGGGTGGGGAAGAGAAGAGGAGAGCAGAGAATCAGAGGGTAAATTCAGCTCCTGGAAGCCTGCCCAGTGCTCATCCCTAGGAAATGACTCAAGCATGACTTATGCCAGCAGACAGTCCATTTGGGCCCTGAGGTCACCAAACCTCGTCATGGTCCTGCTTATTAAATATAGAGGTGTATGAAATAAAGCCACCACTTCTCATACTGGGATTCTAAGAAAGGGGCAGAGAGACAAGGAGAGGTAAGGAATCTGTCCCTTTTTCTCCACCCTTCACAGCCCATCTAGTGAGGTCTCCACTGTGGCTGAGGTTGGACCACCAGGTCGCACTTGGCTCTTAGAGGGAGCTTAGCAAATGTCCTATCTTACTTCTCAGGTAGCAAGAAGGTCTCTGCCCACTTCAGCCCCCAGTCCCCAAGAGCTTGGTAATATTTGGCCCATAATAATCACTGTCTCTCTTTTGTGCCAAGCACATTATGGACATCTCGTTTTTACTGTCCAACAACCATGTAAAGGCAGATAGACAGTCTGTCTGGTCTACTCTACAGATGAGGAAACTGAGTCCCACGGATGTTAAGCAATGTGCTCAAGATCACTCAGCTAAGTTGGAGGGAGTTGGAATTGGACCAAAGTCTGCTGGTCATCTGAGCCATACCAAGGTTGCAACAGGGAAGAACGCGAACTAGAACTCCATTGGCTGGAGCTATGTGATTATAGTCAGGCAACCCCACGGTGCTAGACCTCAGCCTTCTTGTTTGCTCAGGGGACTGGCTGCTCACAGGCAGTATGGGAATCAGCTGAGCTGAGGCCATGCTTCTCTCTCTGATCACACACTTGGGGTGGCAAGACATACTCAGAGGCACACTCAGGAGGTATGGCACCTCTTTTCTGAACTCCGTTTTACCCCCAAGATTTGCCATAATAAAGCCAAGTCATTTAACTGCAAAGGGGAACATTCTTCTGTTATAAAAACTAAACCAAACAAAAAAACAAGGGCATGTTAGGGAGTAGAATGCAAAAGCTGGATTAATTTTTTTCACGTAAAATCCAAGATACTCAACTTCTCTAAGCCTTAGCTCTTTTATCTATAAAATGGGAATAACAAGACCATACTTGTTCAGCAAGGATCCTTAACCTTTTTTGAGCCATAGGTTCCTCTGAGATCTGGTGAAGCCTATAAACTTCTCACAACATTTACGAATGCATAAAATAAAACATAAATGATTTTTTTTTTGAGACAGAGCTTTGCTGTGTTGTCCAGGCTGGAATGCAATGGTTCGATCTCGACTCACTGCAACCTCCACCCCCCAGGTTCAAACGATTCTCCTGCCTCAGCCTCCCTAGTAGCTGGCACTACAGGCGCACACCACCATGCCCTACCTAATTTTTGTATTTTTAGTAGAGATAGGGTTTCACCATGTTGATCAGGCTGGTCTTGAACTCCTGACCTCAAGTAATCCACCCACCTCAGTCTCCCAAAGTGCTAGGATTACAAGCGTAAGCCACCACGCCCAGGAGAAATATTTTTTAATGTACCAAATGAAACATAATTATAAAGAAAACCAATACTATCAAAATATATTTATAAAATACAAAAGTAAATTTGTTATAGTTATGTTTCCTTATTAACAAATAACAAGAGATAGTGGAAAGCCTAATAATTACTTATAATTTGGAAATAGCAATAAGCCTATTTGTAGATATCTGCAACAACCATGATATAAAAAATCTGTGATTTCCATTGACAACAAAATCATGAAATACTTTCTTTGTCCCCTACATCCATAAAGGAAATGCTAAATTTCAGCTAGAGATTCATTAAAACAAAGATGTAATTTTTTTCCATCCAAGTTCACAGACCCCTTAAACATGTGGTTTAAAGCACTGTAACACAGTGCCTGGCACACTGCGAATGTTCTTTAAGGCCGGCTGGTCTAGATGATGCCAGGCTCTGATCCTAGACACACCAGGGCTGGAGGCTCTGCCTCTGTACCAATAGGAGTCCTGCAGAGGAGCATTTTGAGCAGCCCTGAGCCCATCCGGGGCTCAAGGAGGGATGTGGGTCACTCGAAGCTGTTGGGCGAGGGAGGGAGGCCTTCAAGCTAATCCAGAAGCTTAGGGCTGGAAGAGGGATAAGCTGCAGTTAGAAATGCACACAGGCTGTCTCAGAGCAAAACAAACCGTGTCCTTCTGTGCATTAACTCTGTCCACAGCTATGCCTGCAAAGGAGGCCTTTCAGATGCTGCCTCCTTGATATCTCTACCTGAGTGGTTTGTCAGCATCTCCTCCTTAGATCCAATGGGAATTCAATTTCCACCCAAACCAGTTTCTCCTTCAGTCTTCCCCAGGTCAGTAAGTGGCAAACCCTTCACCCAGCTGCTTAGGAGCAAAACTTAAGTATTTATTCCTCTCTTTCCTCCCTCTCACATGCCATCCATCAGCCAGTCCTGTCTGCACTCTCTCCAAAATACCATTCTCATCTCTCCCTCTCTACTGCCACCACTCTGTGCAAGCAATCATCTCTCACCTAGACTTCTAGCAGACACCCAGCTGGCCTCCCCCTCCCACACTTGCTCACCCCACCCTAAGTTGGTCTCTCCCACAGTAGCCAAGATTATCTTTAAAAGATGTAAATCAGGACTATGTTACCCGCCCACTGCTCAAAATCCTCCAAAGACGCTCCTATTGCACTCAGAATGAAATCCAAACACCTGTGGCTTAGGAGGTCCTTGCCTACCCTGCCAGCATCCTCTTCTGCCACTTTCTGCCTCATTGACCATGCCACAGCCATCCTGGCATCCTTTACATTGGAGCTCAATATCTGGTCACTGCCCCAGGGTCAATGCACAAGCCATTTTTGTATGGCTGATTACTTTCTGATGTTTAGATCAAATGTCACCTCCTCCAAGAGGCCCCCCGACTGCTCACTCTGAAGTGGCCATTGTCCTTCCCACTCCATCACACTCTCATTACATGGCTGTGTCTTATTTTTTTCACGATCAACGTGTGAAGGGATGTTGTTGGTTCTGTCCAGGTGTGTGCTACTGGTCCACCTCCACCAGCATGGAAGCGTCGCAATGCTTCCTGCTGCACCTCGGCACACAGTAGGCACTCTTCAGATTTTAGTGAGACTTCTCTTGTGTGGGAAAATGGGCTAAGCTCTTGACATGCATCATGTCACTCAATCCTCATGACTGGTATTACTCCCAGTTTACAGGGGAGGAAACTGAGAAGGCCTAATGAGGTTCCCCAGCTGGGTTAAGGGAAGTCTGATGCCAAACCAGGGTTCTTAATCACTGTTATAATAAAACATTATCCCCCTGCCCCCACAATCATCTCCCAACAGAAGACACAGGAAGGATGATTCCACAGAAAACTGCAGCTGAATGGGGCTGAGGTGACGGAATCCCAGGCCTCAAGACGCTGTGACCTCATCCCGCTCAGAAGCTGCCACCCTCCTGCGCCCTCTGCCCCAGGAGCTGGCTGGCAGAGATGTGGCATCCACACCTGTACTCAGATTTGCATTTGGTGCCCTGGAAACTCCCCACTGCTCCTTTCTCCTCAGGTGCCTTTTCCAGGCCTCTCATCTCCAGATCAGGTTTCTAGAGCTGTGGAATGTCCTGTCTTAGGTTATTCTCCAGCTTGAGGCTAGGTGTCTGGGATTCAGAACTCCAGAGCCCCAGGTGGAAAAAGACCTTAACAACCACTTAGTCCGATGCCCCATCTTATTTATGCTTTAATTACAGTAGCCGCGGGTACCTCATGAGATAGGTCCCCTTTTTATCTCCATTTTACAGGTGAGGAAACTTGAGGCCCAGAGAGGTTTGCTAACTTCCCTTGGAGACACTCAGCTAAGTAGGCAGTTGTGCAGAGACTGGAACTCAGGAAATCTGACGCCCTAAGCCATGACATCTAATTTCTATGCTAGAATAAGAACAAAAACCTTTTCGTTTCAGAGCTGCTGCAAGGGAGGTATAGGTGCCAGAATTACAGAACAGCAGGAGTGAAAGGGCACCTTAGACACGGCTGGCTCTAATTCTACTGTACAGGGAAGGAAACTGAGGCCCAGAGTGGGAAGTCTCTTACGGAGAATCTAGCTGACCTTTTGACGTCAAGGTGTCTCATGTGTCTCCATGGCCTTGGACCCAAGGCAGGGTGGCACTAAGGGCACACATATCAGTGGGGCAATGGCCCCCACACAGGACCCACCCCGGGACTGCAGGTCCCAGGGGAGAGCTAGGAAGACCCTGGAGCCTGCATTCCAATCTGGTTACAGCAGGAAGGGCAGGTGTTGGGCAGACAACGCTTCATCAGCAGCGGGCTGAGAGGCAGCTGCTGTGCAGAGCTGGCCTTAAACAGAACTCCCTGTTACCATTTTAGTCCTGTTGCCAGGGGATGGGCCGGCTGGGACAACAGCCTCCTTATATAGGGCAGAGCAGGAATCCTTGCCCACCCTTCTCCTGCCTCAAAGGCAATAGGCACAGAAAAGACAAAATAAGCAACTGCCCTTTAGAGGCAAACACATCTCTTTGCCATTTTACTGCTTAGAGAATTTTGTGAGTACGTGTGTGTGTGTGTGTGTGTGTGTGTGTGTGCACGTGCGCTTGCATGCATGAGCATATGCACACATCTGTGTAATAAACAGCAAATCAGAACAAAGTGCTCTGGCCTGGGTTCTCTGAGACTGAGCTCTGCTGCCGTAGGCTCCCAAGCCAGCCCCCTTGCCTACATGGGCCTCAGTTTCCTCACACGAGTTAAACTAGACCCTGTCTAACATTTGTCTTGGCCTTAGCATTTGCTAATTTTATGAAATCCAGACAATCTGAAACTTTACCATTCATTAAAGGCACCAACACATGGGGTGACAACATCATCAGCTGGGCTGCTTGGAAGGCCTTCCCCAAGAGATTCACACTTCCCAGTCTTTAACAGAAGCTGAATTTTAACCCTTCCTTGATAGCTCAAATCATTGGGAGTTGGCAACTTTTTCTGTAAAGAGCCAAATAGGAAATATTTTAGACTTTAGAGCCATAAGATAGAGTGCTGTTACGACTTCTCAACTCTGTAGCACAAAAGCAGCCACGGATAACACATCAACAAATGGGCGTGGCTAGGTTCCCATAAAGCTTTCCCTCTATTTTCTCCTCCTTGGCTGTTAGGGTCTCAGTTTACACATCTTCCTCCTATGAGTCTGTTGTCTTCAAGAAGGTCCAGTGCCCCCTGCTTGGGTCCTGTTTCTGATCTGCAGTGGACTGGTCAGACAGCTCTCAGAGCATAAGTCTGTCTCTGAGACAAGTGGCACTGGGGTCTGAAGGAAAGTGGTTTGGGGAACAACAGTGCCTGGTCTTTATGATGATGCCTTTTGATACCAAACAGTTCTGCACTGGATTCCAGAATGAAGAGAGAGCTGGGCGCAGTGGTTCACATCTATAATCCCAGCACTCTGGGAGGCCAAGTTGGGCAGATCACAAGGTCAGGAGTTCAAGACCAGCCTGGCCAACACGGTGAAACCCCGTGTCTACTAAAAATACAAAAATTAGCCAGGCGTGGTGGTGGGCCCCTGTAATCCCAGTTACTCGGGAGGCTGAGGCAAGAGAATTGCTTGAACCCGGGAGGCAGAGGTTGCAGTGAGCTGAGACCATGCCATTGCACTCCAGCCTGGGAGACAAAGTGAGAATCCGTCTCAAAAAAGAAAGGCAGAGGCTGCTGGAGGAGATGTGTCTACAGGCATGGGGAAACTGGGCTGTGATGTACCCTCCCCACAAACGTTTGCTGCGCGAGTGCCCAGGGAGGCAGTGTAAGGGCCTTCTTTTAAACAGCACACTGGGATTTTCCAGAAGACAGAGGATATGCCCTGAGGAACCAACTTCCTTCTGTTTTTCTCCTGGAACTTGATGATAGAACTGTCTCTCCTTTTCTGCAGAAGAGCATCTCCTATGAGTCAGGGGCTCCTCCCGGTAAGCAGAAACCACTCCTCTGACCAAGAAGAGCTGCCCCATGGCCTCCACCCACTTCTCAGGAAGGCAAAAGGAAGGAGCAAGCAACAGCAGCTGCCCCAACAGACTGTGTGAGGGAAAGTCTGCCAGACCAGCCACCCCAGGGTGGGGAAGGCAGGGAACCACAGGGAGGCCCAGACGATGGCGAATACACCCTCTACCTCACCCAGTGACCGGGCCCACCTCTCCCCAACCTGAATGAAGCAGCTGAGGGTGTATGGCCACAAGGCTGTGGCCGTCACCATTTTATCCACACATCTCTGAAGACCTTCAAGCAGAAGGAGCACAGACTTCTTTTGGGGGACCCCAAGGGCAGAAAGAAGACAACAGTGGGTAGAAGTTGCATTTTTTCCATACAAGGAAGAACGTCAAAATGAAGTCAGTGATTTCTTCTTTGCAGGAATTTATACCAAGGCCAGCACGGAAACTGCAAAGGGGTCTTAAGTACCTGAGCATGCAGAATGAATGAATGAATGAATACAACTATGAAACCAGGCTATATCCTATTCAGGCTCTTATCCTCCATCAGCACATTCTTTAAGCTTCACAGTAATCCTCAAGGTAGAAACAAATATGATC